TGTGTGTGTGTACGTATGTGTTTTATTTTTTATTCTGTTTTTGTGTATACATTTTACCTGTTCCCAGAGGGCTCCCGTTACAGTACTAACCAGGCCATGCCCAGCTTAGTACTGTGCCCTCTATCTATCTATCTATCTATTTATCTATCTATCTATTTATCTATCTATCTATTTATCTATCTAATGTGTCAGGAAGGACACTAGATCAGAGAGTTTTGTAAACACATTTTCCGATGATCAAATAAATAATAAAAACAAATATTAATAACAAATAATATTTTTTGTCCAATTTATTTTCAGTAGTATCACAAACAGAAAGGACCAAAACACATATTTACACAATTCCTTGCATAGTTTTGTTCAGACACACAGTAAATCTGGTTTGAAATAGCTTTGTTCCATGTAAACGGGGGTTTCTGCTGAATCTCACAGATGAATGAAACACATGTTCAATACCTACACACACACACACACACACACACACACACACACACACGTATATAATTATGAACACATTATAATACAGTCCAGTGCAGATACATAAAAAGGCTGTATGTCCACGAGCGGCCGCCCCAGGTCAAAGCCAAGAGCTGGAGACCACAGACACGCTGCAGGAGTCAGAGCCAGGAGCTGGAGACCACAGACACGCTGCAGGAGTCAGAGCCAGGAGCTGGAGACCACAGACACGCTGCAGGAGTCAGAGCCACGAGCTGGAGACCACAGACACGCTGCAGGAGTCAGAGCCAGGAGCTGGAGACCACAGACACGCTGCAGGAGTCAGAGCCAGGAGCTGGAGACCACAGACACGCTGCAGGAGTCAGAGCCAGGAGCTGGAGACCACAGACACGCTGCAGGAGTCAGAGCCACGAGCTGGAGACCACAGACACGCTGCAGGAGTCAGAGCCACGAGCTGGAGACCACAGACACGCTGCAGGAGTCAGAGCCACGAGCTGGAGACCACAGACACGCTGCAGGAGTCAGAGCCAGGAGCTGGAGACCACAGACACGCTGCAGGAGTCAGAGCCACGAGCTGGAGACCACAGACACGCTGCAGGAGTCAGAGCCAGGAGCTGGAGACCACAGACACGCTGCAGGAGTCACTTTTGTTGGTCTGGGGTTCCACGGAGTACCTCTCTCCTCGATGCTGCTCCAGATACGGACCCCACTCTTCAGTCGGACGACACAGGGATTTCAACCGCTGGAGAAAAAACACGTGATTATTACAGTAAACACCATTTACACTGTAGGAAATGATCAAGTATGTGGAAATAAGGCCTTTAATCGACTGGATGTCTGGTCTCTTTCTCTTTGGTCTCTCTTTCTCTTTGGTCTCTCTTTCTCTGGTCTCTCTCTGGTCTCTCTCTCTGGTCTTTCTTTCTCTCTGGTCTCTCTCTGGTCACTTTCTCTCTCTCTCTCTGGTCTCTCTCTCTCTGGTCTCTTTCTCTCTGGTCTCTCTCTCTCTGGTCTCTTTCTCTCTGGTCTCTTTCTCTCTGGTCACTTTCTCTCTGGTCACTTTCTCTCTCTCTGGTCTTTCTTTCTCTCTGGTCTCTCTCTGGTCACTTTCTCTCTCTCTCTCTGGTGTCTCTCTCTGGTCTCTTTCTCTCTGGTCACTTTCTCTCTGGTCACTTTCTCTCTCTCTGGTCTCTCTCTCTCTCTGGTCTCTTTCTCTCTGGTCTCTCTCTCTCTGGTCTCTTTCTCTCTGGTCTCTTTCTCTCTGGTCACTTTCTCTCTGGTCACTTTCTCTCTGGTCACTTTCTCTCTGGTCACTTTCTCTCTCTCTGGTCTCTCTCTCTCTGGTCTCTCTCTCTCTGGTCTCTTTCTCTCTGGTCAATTTCTCTCTGGTCACTTTCTCTCTCTCTGGTCTCTCTCTGGTCTCTTTTACTCTGGTCTTTCTTTCTCTCTGCTCTATCTCTCTCTCTCTCTGGTCTGTCTTTCTCTCTGCTCTATCTCTCTCTCTCTGGTCAGTCTTTCTCTCTGGTCGAATAGGTTTTCTTAACTTGTGAACATTCTGACTTTCAACCCTTTAATGGTTTCCTCAACTTTTCCCTCTTGAGTCACTAAATCTACCTGAAGCTTGGAACTGAAATCTACCTCATTTTCATCTATCACTGGGTTTGAGACACTCAAGCTGCATCTCAACCATTTAGTAAAGGCCTATGATTGAAAAAACTAGGGGGTTAAAACAAAACAAATATATGTAAAAGAAAATATTTATGTTGTCAGTGCTCCTACATCAGAGAGAAAAAAGGAGTGAACATTGGAGATTAAAACCAGATTCTCCAGATTTTCTCATTCCAAAGGAGACATTTATGACATATTTTAAAAACAAGATCATTTTGCTTTGTCCCGTTGGAGAATCTAGTTTTACGGCTCAGTCAGAATGTGCTCAAACCAAGATACATTTTGCCAAATTTGAGCCATTTTTGACGTCCGTTAACATTGTTCTTGTTTTTCCCTTTCTTGAGTCTTTAAAACAACACATTCTTACCTCCCACGCCGAGCCCTTCGCTTTAACAAACTTGTAGAGAGCGATGAGTGGGATCCACATGAGCACGAACGCAGCGAGGCCCCAGCCCAGCGCCAGGGCCCAGTCTGGGTACGGGACGGTCCCATAGGAGGGCGAGGTGAGGGTGAAGAGGGACCACATCAGGATCAGCTGCAAACACCGAACAACTGTGACTTCATCTTATTCTCGATTCACTTCAATAATAGATAGTTTGATTTCTGCATAATCTGAGTGTTCTTATTTCTCCTTCTGTTCTGCTGTAGCCTGGTCTTACCACACCACTGTACTCATTTCATTTCACACTAAGGTCTGCATTTGCTTAATTGACTCCGTTAACAGGTGGGAGGGGTTAACTCCTTTTGCAGATTGAAACGATTGGATCCTAGCTTTAGCATTTAGCCTAGCTTTAGCCATCTCCTTTGCCACTATCGGAGCCCGTGGGGAGTAGAGCCACAACATCTTTGCCTCAATGACATTTGCTAAACATTCCTCTTGCTCCGGATTCAATTTCTTAACAGAACCAGAACAGATTATTTTACCATCGCATTCTCTGCCAAACTACAACCAGTATATTTTGCGCAAACTCTTGACTACATCTACCGACAACAAGCGCCTTAAGTGCCCGCTGTCAAAAGGCATTAATAACACATTTCCAATACTTCTTATAAGTTATAAGAATAACTGATAAAAGTAGTGCAGAGATATTTGAATTTCAAAATTAGTTTTACAGTCCCTGAATCTTGTTATTGATCGCCCTCCACCGTTTCACCAATCAGAAAGTCCGTGATCCGGGCGCCAGAACTCACCGCGTGGAGCTAATCTCACTGGTAAAGTACCATGTGGTGCAGAACTAAAAAAAGGTCTCAAACAAGGAATAAAACCAGGATTTCTATCTTTGTGAAAAAGGTGTTGGTTACAGATTTGTTGTTGACAAAACTCTTGTCTATTCAGCTGTTATGGTCCCAGCTGGATTCGTCTGCATATCTGGCAACCTGAGTCAGGGAGAGTGGGAGAGGCTGCAGTACCACTTTTGGCCAGATAAAGCTCCTTTAATATTGATCACTAAAAATCCTATTAGGGGCCACTAGAAATAGTCTTGAGGACCGGATTTTGCCCACGGGTCTGAGTTTGGCATGTCTGCTCTATGTCTTTGTAAAGTGAGTTCAGAACATGTCCATAACTCTCACCAGAATGATGCAGGGACTGATGAAGAACCAGCAGGTCCTCCACCAGATCCAGAAGCAGAAAGACCTCTCTCCGATCATCATCTCGATGTCTTTGATGAAACGGTTTCCTCCTGAAAACACCACACGTTTTAATTTCTATGTTTTACTTTTATGTTTAATGATACAAACTCACCATAAACAAATGAGATGCCGATCACCTCCATCAGACCCACAATCAACAAAACCCAAGTCCCAAGAAACTGGTCCAGAAGCGTGACCCAGTAGATCCCGGCCTGGAAGAGGGTCATCAACGTAAGGGTACAGAGTCGATAAAAGCTTTGAAGTGTTTGAAGTTAGAGACGGCACCTGAGTCACACACGGAAGACCGAGCAGGAACACGGAGCAGGACAGCGCCACCGTCAGGAGGGAGCGCTTGGAATTAAAGAGAGAAGGGACGGCGTCGACCAGACACGTGATGACCACCTCTGAGGAGCACAGAGTCAGACCGATGAGAGTCCCACAGCGGGAGGAACATGAACAACATACACTGCAGACTCACTCAGACCTGACTTTTATTGTGGTCGTGTGTGAGTTTAAGCAAAGACGGCCATTTTTTATAAATCCATGAGAAGAACACGTTTTAGACTTAAATATGTCTAGTGTCAGTAAGTTGATAAGTATTAAGTTAGTAAGAAATACTGTGAACAGCTACGAAAATAATAGTTTCATACACATCATTTGGGGCGATATTGGCTCAGTTGTAGAGCATTTTCCTTTGAGCCTGAAGGTTGTGGGTTCGAGCCCACCAATCAATCAAAGTTTATTTGTAGAGCGCCTTTCATACACAGGGCAACACAAAGCGCTTCACAGTCCACATCACAAATCATCACATAAAACAAACACCAGAATCACAATTAAAACATTAAAATCACACAAAAGATTAAAAACATTAAAACTTTCAAAATTTTAAAATTTTAAAATTTTAAAAATAAATAAATAAATGACAACAGTGCATTAGAAATGGAGATAAAATCCTTCAGTTGTATGCACAGGCAAACAGAACAGTCTTTAACCGAGTTACCACAAGACTTTCTCCACCCACCCACACCCACTCATGTCTGCTGTCGTTGTGTCCTTGGGCAAGACACTTAAAGGGCCCATATCACGGTTTTTTACTTTTCTCTACTTTAAACATGATTACAATCAAGGGCGTAGGTTTGCGTGGGGACCATGGGGACATGTCCCCACCAATATTTGGTGAGGACTAAAAAGTCCCCACCAAAATGACATGATGTCCCGGGACCCGGACGGTCCGGGACACATGTCTTCCGTTTGCGCACACGTCGCGCCTCCTCCTCGCCTCCAGAGCAACAGCAGCAGCAGCAGCACGTGACCCGTTCCGTTCTCTGCAGTGATTGGCTGTCTTCTTCAGCGCCAAACTGAAGCACTGAGCGACTGTTTAATTTTTAAAAGTTAGCCAGCGTGAAGCAAGTGTTTTTTTTTCGTTCCCTGAGCGTTGTAGCACGTGAGTAATCAGAGGAAAGTACTGTAGATCTATTACCATTCAAAGTACTTACGTTATTTCTAATCTGTCAGCGCACTGTTTAATGTTCCGAGGAGCTCACACGGCACAGAGACAGAACAGAACTGGCTCCAATAAAGAAACAGGTTGGTTGAAAGGCTGAAAAAATACTTATTGTGCTCTTACTATCCAAAATGTATAAGTGGGTGTGTTGTGTGAATCAGGATAAACTAGTGATGAAAATATTCCACGGATCCACGATTTACAACCTTTATCTGCTGATAATGTAATTTCTGTGAAATGTGTGACAGCGGGCACTTGCTGCTATTTGCTCTAAGCACATTCAAGCGATGCACTCGAATGTGCACGTCCTGGTGCAGCTGCTGCCGCTTTGTAATGACAGCCGCGGCGCTCAGTGAAAGCACAGCTCTAACATGGTACCGAGCTCGGACCATATGCAGACAGAACCATGTTGCAAGTGCGGGTCTCCCTCCTATCTCCCGCGTTTCTCCCCTGTGTCTCTGACATGTCTCTCCCCTGACTCTTCCCAAAGCGCAACCAGCGCTCCCGAAATTAAAGCTCGGATACGTAAATTTTCCATTGCGTTAACGATGCATGCTGGTTGTGCGCAAAACACACCACAACAGGTCATTTAAGTTTTTATTTTGAATACTTGAGAACCCTGTGAGTCATTACTTGCCTTTTTGGGTAGAGAGTGGAATAAAAAAAAGAAAATATAGAAAAATCCACACTGTTACTTATTGCCAAACTCTTGTTAACTCATTGTATTGAGAAATACTATGTAACTTTTGACATTGGCCAAGTTTTATAAATGATTCTGCAGTTCATGTATATGAATGTCTGTTTTTGATTTTCTATACCTTCTTATATAATTTAGAAAAAAATCCACCTCCACAAAAAAAGATAAAAGATATCAGGAGCTTTTTTAACAGTTGGAAAGTAAGTAAGAGAAAGCACAAGTAATAGCAAATTATGAATTGTGATGATTAATCTTCTGTTAACATACATAGGAAACTCAACCAACAAGAGAGAACAATATAGGGAATGTTGAGGTAGAAGCAACAGGCCCTTCAGTGCATCAGGTGAGGTTGGAATTTTGTAGGTATGCATGGGACTATGAATTGTTTTTAGAGATTGATCGTATATGTCAAACAATGTAGTGAGCTACTCACTGTAGATTCTAATTCAATATTTTCTCCTCTGTTTTTATTTATTATAGGAAATTGAAAGATCAGAGCATGATTTATTTCAAGTATCGAGAGCAGTTCCTGAACTGTTAGAGCCTCAGGTGAGGGCTATTATGTAGATTTGGATTAGGTTTAAGTCAGTATAGAATCATACTAAAGTTAAAGAACATCATTTGGTTGGAAATTACCTATGCCAATTACAACATATTTTACTACTATAATGATGCACAAAAGTGTTGTCTGAAATCTTTTACTAAATATAGGACACTCTGAGAGATATAATGGAAATTCAAGAAGGAGATAAAGACAAGGACAAGACAGGACTCCAGGTGAGGTTAGGGTTAAGCAGTTAAAATCTTAGACCCATCAACCAATTCTAGTTTCATGAGATATTTAGCGACTGGTGTACCATGCCTAGGTTTCATTTTATTCAATGTAGAATGTGTGTTTTTATTAATACCATAAAGGAAAGTCAGACAAACAGGGAATGTGCAGTGCTGGTAGAGGATGAGGAAGTGGCTGGACCTTCAGGGCTTCAGGTGAGGTTGAAAGTTTTTGTTTGGTTTTGTTGGTGGTTTTATTTTGTATATGCTTAGATCTGATTTGTTTAATGCACTACATGTGTTTTATTTATTATAGGGAACTCAGGTATTCAGGGAAGATGTAGTGCAGGCAGATATCGAAGCTGGGCTTCAGGTGAGGCTGGAATTATGAAGATAAAATATGGGATTTTTTAAAGTTTCATAACAGTGTATTTGCTATTTAGGAGGCAGCCAATGAGAGTCACTCTCAAGAAAGTGCCAGGGACAGCATATTTGAGATAGGTTGTAAACCATATCAGCCTGATCCTGAATACAGGATATATTTACTATCTTATTTACTATAAACATTTAAGCCATCTTGTGGACAAAGGTAGAATGAACGCAACACAAAACTCAGAAGTTCTGATCCAATTGATTTTGTTTTAACGATTAGAAAAAATCCTTAACTGCTTCTCATTCAGTCTACAGCTGAGTTTAGTATAGAAGGCGACACACTATTGCAAATATAGTGTGTGATTACACAACAAATTCTGGGGGAGAAACTCTGGACCCCGTGTCAATGGGTGTAGACTCAGGTCGTAGTGAATGTCCCCACCAAGATTGGAACCAAACCTACACCATTGATTACAATGCTATTTGGCCTTCATACACAAGCCCACAGTAGTTTATTCATTGATTCTGTCAATCTTTTGTAAGAGAGCGATCTGTCTCCTTCCCCAGCGTGAGGCACAGAAACGCTCGGGTCCACTTCAGTGACGAAAACCACACTGATGACGCGCATGACCCTGTTTGCTTTGTATTTAAAATAGTTGTTAAATACTTTTGTCAAAACGGGGTAAACAATACACAATTAATATGCTGTTTTTTGTCAAAAATAATAAAAATATAAATAAATTAAAAGCCGGCGGGAGGTGATTGACGGATCAAAACAGCGAATCAGAGCGCACAGGCTCCGGCTCCTGAGTCCAGCGTCTGGGGTCTGGTCTCGCGGACACCACATAGAGCTGCTGTTTTTATGCTTTTGTCAGCAACTAAAAGTGTTAGGATCACGTCAACTTGAATGAAGTGTGTTATGGGTGTAAATATGTGACACACTATTTGGCCCGAAGAGGAAGAAAGCGGCTCGACTTTTTTCATCTGTTCATCTCATGGATCTATTATAAACCGGTTCATCTGCGACACTTCACTGAGACTGTTCCAGAACTACAGGGACAATGGAACTGGACTTACTCAAAGGCTGATGTGGAAACACGTTATTCCCACGGTAAAGACGTAACTCGGACCCCCTCGATCTGTAAGTAGTGACGCTAACTCGCTGTATACTTCTGTAAACTAAATAACTAGGGTCTGATTGTGCATCGAGGACATAGGGCTCGATGTGACGGATTGTCATTGTTGGAAAAAGTTTATTCTTATCTATGAAATGACTAAGTACAGGTGATAAACGACAAAAGCGTGATGCTACGTCACCGCGCGGGCGGGGGGAGGCGGACTCACAGGCAGAGGAGCAGACTCTGGATCAGCTCGTTTGAGTCGAGGTGACGTCACCTCTATACAAGAGATGGCTCTAATCTCACAAGCTTTGATTGTTGTGTGGTGTATCATACACATTAATATCACACATGTGCAGAGGACTGAGTGTGAAACATGAAGAAAAGCGTGATATAGGACCTTTAACCTCTGGGAACACCAGGGTGCCACAGTGGGGCGGCTGCCAAACTGCCGTTGTGTCCTTAGGCAAGACACTTCTTCCCCATTAGGATGAGCGTGGTTTATGTGAATGGTTGGTGGTGGTGGGAGGGGCCGATGGCACAGACTGGTTGCCTCGCTTCTGTCAGTGTGCCCCAGGGCAGCTGTGGCTACAGTAGTAGTTTATCACCACCGTGTATGTACTGAATGAATGTCCAGAAAAGTGCTGTATAAAACCGATGCATTATTATTATCATTTATTGAGGGACAGGACAAGGTTTTCCAGTCTCACCTGAAGGATTAGCAAATATCAGTCTCCTCTAATATTTAGACTTTTAAATAAATTGAAATAAGTTTAAGGGCTCCACTGTTTCACATTTTAAAAAATGAAGAAAATAAACGCTTTTTGTGTTTTCTTGTACCTATTCCAGCGAACTGCGAGTCCAGGCCGACAGTGAGGAGCATGAAGAAGAAGAGCACGGACCACAGCGGCGACACCGGGAGCTTGGACAGAGCGTCTGGGTACGCGATGAACGCCAGACCGAACCCTGGAAACACACACACGGTTCTGTTCTGTGTCCAAATGAAGAGAAAACAAGTCCTCCAGGTCTCTCTGTGTCCCAAACCCAGGTCTCAGTCCGAGTGAGTCTACACCTGTCTCTGTGCTGACCATAAGGGTTAACACTAGAACTCCCAGAGCAGTCGATTTGACGGCTTTTAGTTTTGGAAGCATAATTACTCAGAGTATGAACACTTCTGGTCGTTATAACTTCATAACTTGTGACTTTTTCTGTTTATATGTAGATCATTATTATTAAACAAGCAATATGCAAGATTTTCATGTCAAGTTATTAAATGGCCCTAATTTGTCCAAAGGCATTAATAAACAAAAAGCCACTTGTGAATGACTTACTTTTAATAAAAGTGGCACAAAAAAAACCCAATCAAACAATTTTTGGGGCGCTGGGAGTTCTAATAGTTTCATAATTCTGGGTGACCTAGTATTAATAGAGAAATCATGGTTTTTATATTTTTGTCAAGTTCCTGAAAGCAGCAGCTCACCTTCTTTGACGACCTCTCTGACTGGTTTTTCGTACACAAACGCCATGTGACCCAGAATGGAAAAAATGGCAAATCCTGCAAACACACTGGTGGCTGCAAAACAAATGTCCAGAATAAGACTCCAGGACTGAGGTGACATGTGTTTTTGCATCGACACACTTGTAATATTTCCCTTTTAGTCAAAAACATGATACATTTTTACATCAACAAACAAGAGAATTACAGCGGTGTGCGAAAGTAAGCCCGAAAACCAAAAAACCTGACTAAACTAGAAATGATCGGCAAAGAAGAATGGTCCAAAATTCCTAATTGTAAATTATAGGAGGCAAAATGAGGATGTAAAAAAATGATTTTTGGTGCCTAAATTTATGCACAAACCTAATTTGGTTTAAATAATTCTTGCAAATTTCTGTAAATGATAAAAACTTTATGTTGTGTTTCAAATATCACAGTATTTTCTCTCTCTCTGGTCTCACTCTGTCTCACTCTGTCTCTCTCCGGTCTCTCTCTCCGGTCTCTCTCTCTAGTCTCTCTCTGGTCTCTCTCTCCGGTCTCTCTCTCTAGTCTCTCTCTGGTCTCTCTCTCTGGTCTCTCTCTCTGGTCTCTCTCTCTGGTCTCTCTCTCTGTTCTATTTCTCTCTGGTTTCTGTCTGGTCTCTCTGGTCTCACTCTGAACTCTCTCTGGTGTCTATCTCGAGTCTCTTTCTCAAATCTCTCTCTGGTCTCTCTCTGGTCTCTCTCTCTCTGGTTTCTGTCTGGTCTCTCTCTCTGGTCTCTCTCTGATCTCTCTCTCTGGCCTTGGTCTGGTCTCTCTCTCTGGTCTCTCTCTCTGGTCTCTCTCTCTGATCTCTCTCTCTGATCTCTCTCTCTGGTCTCTCTCCCTGATCTCTCTCTCTGGTCTCTCTCTCTGATCTCTCTCTCTGATCTCTCTCTCTGGTCTCTCTCTCTGGTCTCTCTCTCTCTCTGGTCTCTCTCTCTGATCTCTCTCTCTGATCTCTCTCTCTGGTCTCTCTCCCTGATCTCTCTCTCTGGTCTCTCTCTCTGATCTCTCTCTCTGATCTCTCTCTCTGGTCTCTCTCTCTGGTCTCTCTCCCTCTGGTCTCTCTGTCTGGTCTCTCTCCCTAATCAATCTTTCTGATCTCTCTCTTTGGTCTCTCTGTAGTAGGGAAGGTGGTGGTTGTTGACACAACCCTTGTCTATTCAGCTGTCATGGTCCCAGCTGGATCCGTCTGCATATCTGGCAACCTGAGTCAGGGAGAGTGGGAGAGGACTACAGAATATTGACAGTGGCTGCAGTACCACATTTGGCCAGATTGTTACATATTGCTCCTTTAAATCTTATCCAAACCACCAATAATTCCTCAAGAACAATCATAACAACTGAAAAGGGTGCCCAAACTTTTCACTCCCACTGCATCACCTTCTACCGCCTTGAGCGAGTTTAAACTTGATTATATACCAAAGCAAAGTGTTGTTTTTATGATTTCTTTATTAACTTTATTCAAATCCTTCTGGTACCTGCGTTGGTGAAGCAGACGATGAAAGCGTCCTTGAACACGTTGTTGTTGAAGTTGTTGTAAGACGCCAGAGTCATGACTCCGCCCCATCCGATGGACAAGGAGTAGAAGGTCTGCGTCGCCGCGTCCTTCCACACCTGGACCAGAACAAAGAAAATGTGGTTTTAGTTGGAACGTGCTAACGCTGATGTCTCCATGACGACTGCTTAAGAAAAAATTGTCATGGTGTGGATTTGAAGTTACTGTATTCTCGTATTTTCTATGTCTATATGTACCTGCGTCTCTATCTCTATGTACCTGTGTTTCTTTGTGTCGATATGTACCTGTGTCTCTGTGTCTATATGTACCTGTGTCTCTATCTCTATGTACCTGTGTTTCTTTGTGTCGATATGTACCTGTCTCTGTGTCTATATGTACCTGTGTGTCTCTGTGTCTATATGTACCTGTGTCTCTGTCTCCATATGTACCTGTGTGTCTCTGTGTCTATATGTACCTGTGATTCTTTGTCGATATGTACCTGTGTTTCTTTGTGTCGATATGTACCTGTGTCTATATGTACCTGTGTCTCTCTGTGTCTATATGTACCTGTGTCTCTGTGTCTATATGTACCTGTGTCTCTCTGTGTCTATATGTACCTGTGTCTCTATCTCTATGTACCTGTGTTTCTTTGTGTCGATATGTACCTGTGTCTCTGTGTCTATATGTACCTGTGTGTCTCTGTGTCTATATGTACCTGTGTCTCTATGTACCTGTGTCTCTGTGTCTATATGTACCTGTGTCTATATGTACCTGTGTCTCTCTGTGTCTATATGTACCTGTGTCTCTGCCTCTATATGTACCTGTGTCTCTCTGTGTCTATATGTACCTGTGTCTCTGTCTCTATGTGTACCTGTGTCTCTGTGTCTATATGTACCTGTGTCTCTCTCTGTACCTGTGTCTCTATCTCTATGTACCTGTGTTTCTTTGTGTCGATATGTACCTGTGTCTCTGTGTCTATATGTACCTGTGTCTCTGTGTCTATATGTACCTGTGTCTCTGTGTCTATATGTACCTGTGTCTCTGTCTCCATATGTACCTGTGTGTCTCTGTGTCTATATGTACCTGTGTTTCTTTGTCGATATGTACCTGTGTTTCTTTGTGTCTATATGTACCTGTGTCTCTCTGTGTCTATATGTACCTGTGTCTCTCTTTCTCTATGTGTACCTGTGTTTCTCTGTGTCTATATGTACCTGTGTGTCTCTCTGTGTCTATATGTACCTGTGTGTCTCTCTGTGTCTATATGTACCTGTGTCTCTGTGTCTATATGTACCTGTGTGTCTGTCTCTATATGTACCTGTGGCTACAATCTTTTCAAGATTTCAAGATTTTTATTTGTCAAACCAAGTGAATGGTTTGATATTATATTTCTCTATATCTATATATCTCTATATCTATATGTACCTGTGTCTCTCTGTGTCTATATGTACCTGTGCTCATCTTATATATTCCATCCATCCATTTTCTACCCTTTAATCCATTTCTGGGTCAGGGGGGTGGCAATCAGAGCTGCCACCCAAGTCTCATAGCACCAGCCCCTCAATGACCCTCTGCAGGTGATGAGTCCACAGGAGGACGGCTGCTCTCTGAGTGTGAGCATAGCCTTGATCTTTCAGTGGGGGCTTTTGGGCAAAGTGGGGTTAAGTGTCTTGCCCAAGGACACAACGACAGCAGTCATCAGTGGGAGTCGGTGGAGAAGGTGCAGAGGCGGGAATTGAACCCACGACCTTCTGGCCCTAAGGCCAATGCTCTACCAACTGAGCTACTGTCGCCCATCTTATATATTGATAAATCTAATTGATTATGGTGTTTAGGCCTACGGTTTAGAGCAGGTGTCTCCAACCTTTTTCACCCCGAGAGCTACTTTCCTGGGACAATAAAGGCAGAGAGCTACTTTCCTGGGACAATAAAGGCAGAGAGCTACTTTCCTGGGACAATAAAGGCAGAGAGCTACTTTCCTGGGACAATAAAGGCAGAGAGCTGCTCCTTTGAGTGCTCTGGGAAATAAATGGTGCCATATTGGTGTGAACGAGCCTGATGTTTTTTGCATTTACAGTAATAAATAACAATAATGTATAATACAATCTGAAAAATTAAGTATATTTGATTTGTTAATTTCTACATCCTTTAGCGAGCTACCTGGATGGGGGTGGCGAGCTACTGGTGGCTCCCGAGCTACAGGTTGGAGACCCCTTGTTTAGATATTATGGCAGTATAAATGGTGCGTTTTTCCTTGATAAATGTAGCTTTAAAATGTGTATTCATATTCAAAATTCTTCTCTTTGTGAGGGCCGCACTGACACTACACTGTGATGTCCACTAGGGGGCTACACAATACTTTTTCGGCCGCATGTTTGAGGCCCCTGCTTCCGATGATGCAGTCCACCTACCTGAGCGTCTTGAAGTTTGGTCAGATTTGACTGAGACCCAATATAATACTCGATGCCGTCTCTGGCGCCCTCTAGTGTGGCTCCTCGGATCAGCAGGATAAAGATGACCACATAGGGGAAAGTGGCAGTGAAATACACCACCTGCAGACGGAAGAACACACGTCACTTCCTCTCAATCAGACATAAGTGTTTATTTAAGGTACGTTTATTTATATAGCACAATCCATACACAAGGCAAGTCGAAGTGCTCAAAGCAATCATCAAACAAGGCATTAAAAACATAAATAATTATTGTGCATTAAAACAAACTTTCTTGTTTTAATGACATTCATCCAAAAAAATGCAAATTAAACATTGTAAACACCAACAACCTTCCAACTTTACCAAATAAAAAAATAGTAGGATTGTAGGATTGTTTTTTTTAATCTCTCAGAGCAGTCAATTTGACGGCTTTTAGTTTTGGATACATACTTACTCAGTGCATGTAAATTTTTGGTCTTCATAACTTTGTCTGTCTTTATATGTGGTTTATTTCTATGTAATTTTTGTTATGAAATATTTTATTTTTCAAATGTGAGTAGTTTTACCTTTAACTCTCAGAGCAGTCCTTATGAGCTGAGTTCAGCTTGTTTGGTTCTAGTAGTTTCAGATTTCTGCGAGTCCTAATGTTTAGCACTTTGAGCTGCCTTCTGTACGGACTGTGCACCACAAATAAACTTGCCTTGATTGATTGATGGAGAAGGAAAAATCCTCCGTCCTCAGGACTAAACTGTGTTCAAACCACGGATCGATCACAATAACTGGATAGGGTATTACTAGCTTGAAACTGAAGGACCCATGTGCTCACGGGATTCTCTCGCTACTGCAGACTAAACCAGACGAAATCCATGTGGGCTACCCAGAAATCTTCCCCATAGAACTCAATGTAAACTAAAACAGCTCGACCTCAGCTGACAGAGAACCCGACAGAGAACCTGACAGAGAACCTGACAGAGAACCTGACAGACAACCTGCGTTTTTCATAAAGGTCACATTCTGTGGCAATTTTAGTGTCCCATGTCGTCCTGAACTTTTTTCTTCTAATCTATAAATCCACACTTTACTGCAACAAACTCTGCTCGATCGTCTCCCGCTCTAATGGTGCTTTCAGACCGGATCATGCGTTGCGTCGACCATGGTGACGAGCATTCGAGCGTCACAACACACCGACCTCTCGGCACGCACAAACTGTTCAGTAGAGACACACGGACTTGGCGGGAAAGTCAAAGGGAGGAGCAGGAGCGAAAAATCGACGGCCACAGGAGATGGATTCTGCTCATCCTTTCCTTGGGACGTTCGTGCAGCGACCAATCAGAGAGCAGCAAAGTGGTCACAGGGACATTAGCGGACTGAGCGAGCAGACTGAAAATACTGTAAACAGCCAAAACAGGACCTACACCAGACTTAACCAGAACTCAAACCAGGGTTGACAATGGGGGACTCTGGGCTTGTGAAAATATGCGTTGTCATGCTCCCGTGACCTTATGCAACTGCTTCGAGTGTGTTCGCCGATGCGGAAATACCGTTTAATAATATAAAAAAACGTATGGCGCACCTCCGTGAACACATACTACTGTTGTATGAAGCCCATAGAAGGTCTATGAGCAAAGACACGCTGCAAACTTAAAGCTGCTTATTGGAAAAGATCTGTACACAAGAAGCCGCTAGCATAGCTCTGTTAGCATTAGAGTCGGCCAGCTACTTCCGGTACTTCCGGTGCGCGTCAGGACATCTCGGTCTGAAGACCCCTGCGTCTGAAAACTAGAGAATGCGCGTCTGGTGAGCGGGGCTTCAGCGTTTCAGCGTTGGCGGTCTAAAAGCACCATTACTCCACTCTGATCAGCAGCTCTGATTGTTCAGAGCGCGGCCGAGCCCCTCTGTGCATGTGCATAAGAGCCACACACTCGTATTTGGCGCAGAACCGGGAAAACCAAACGATGCCCAAATATGGGCAAGTTCTGCTAATCTTTCAGTGTCCATGTATGTCCCATGCGCTACTGAGCACAAGCCATTCATTTGAATAGGACGCCATCTTCGATCCATCCGTAAACTCCGGTCCATGATCATTCCCTACATGTATGTCTGGGTCTGATCCTAGTGGCTGCAGTTTTCTCGGTTGAATCCCATCCGACCTGAGGGTGTAGTAGGTTGGTGTGGTGGGCAGATAGGTGTTGTAACAGATGTTGTCAACAGTTTGTACCAAATGTGTAGGTTTGTAGTTTTTCAACGGCGGCGAATGCGATAGTAAAGTAATCCTTTCTGGTTCAGCTCTAAATATCAAGAACTTGAACCCGGAGCAAGAGGAATGTTTAGCAAATGTCATTGCTGCAATGATGTTGTGGCTCTACTCCCCACATGCTCCGTTAGTAGAAAAAGAGCTAAGCTATGTAAATGCTAAAGGTAGGCTAAATGTTTGCTCACTCAGTCTCTTACCTTTCCAGACGACTTGATGCCTTTGATGAGAGCAGCTCCTACGATGATGGAGCTGAGCAGCAGACACAGGGCCAGGTGCCAGACCACGGTCCCGGTCTCATCCATCCCACTGGACCGCCGTAGGGCCTCCTCACTGAAGAGGAGACAGAGATTATAGATAGACATTAGACAGCCCTCGGACCTTTTCACATCCGCAAACGTCATTCCATGTCCCTGTATCTTCAAGGAATGAAACTTCATGAGTGCTAAAACAAAAAACATTTTCCTCCAAGTACGTCTTGTATTTGTAGAAGGTTCACCCGGTAAAAAACCCAGACTTAAGAATATTCGTTTAAAAAATATCAAATTACAAAACAATATTTGACCTGAAAATGTGATCTACATATGGACCTGGTTTGAAGACATCAGCACCGTTTCCACCAGCCCTCTTTGGCCCTACTCTACTCTTTACGCTCCCTGATTGGGAGCGGGTTGAAAAGTTTGGTAAAGGAAATAACATGTAGATAATTCCCTAAAGCTTTAAACAGGAAAGTTAAGATGAATGAACCCAGACTTTAGCCACAAAAAACACAAGAGCAACAAAATGCATATATGATTTTACAACAGTATATAGTAATAGAGTGATATATATGTTCTTACTCCCAGTATCGCTCACTTGGAGTCTGGGTTTGGACTTGGATCTGGTCTGAAGCAGGACAGCTCCCATTGGTCCAGTTTGACACCAGGATTCCACTGATGTTACACACCACTGGGAACACAGAGAATATTGTAATCTATCTGATACATTTGTACCTGATCTCTGTCCATTTATTTATAAAACCTAAAAAGCGTACCTTGGAGGGGGTCGGTGCAGTTGAGAGCGCCCCAGCCGGAGCAGCGCGCCCAGGGCAGCGGCGACTGGAAGGAGGCGAACATGTAGAACAGGCTGTAGGCGATGATCACGTTGTAATAAAAACTCACAATGAGAGTGATGAGAACCATGGCCACGCCCACTCCTGGAAAGCACACACAATCCACACACAAACAGACAACTGTAGGTAAAGACACACACAAACTGCTCACAAAGGTTTGTTTAAAGCAGCGGCGTCAAACTCATTTTGGTCAAAACAAAGAGGAACTAGTCTGGGGCCGAAAGAACAGAAGGGATTTATTTTTCTTATAATTATTTTCAATTATGAATGATCAATTATCAATTCAGTTATTTCTGGTTGATAAAAACAATGTGGTTATTGTTTAGATTTAACAAAAACTGGACCATATTTAAGTTAAATAAGTTAAACACATTGATTTTATATTGAATTATTTAACTTCTGTTGGGACGTGTTGGGTTAAAACGATTAGATTTATTTTATAGATACAGTATAGAGCAAACCTATAAGGACCCCGCTCAAAAAAGTGATGATTTGTCTCAAGTGGTAATCCCTAATAAATAAATAGATTGATAGATTGATTGATATTCAGTGTAGTGTGGACTGACCCTGCAGCAGCGGCACAGCCCTCCACACGTTGATGGGCCCCTGGCTGCAGAACTGTCCCAGAGCGCTCTCCAGGAAGAACAGAGGGAGACCGGCAAACAGCAGCATCAGGAAGTACGGGATCAGGAAGGCACCTGCGCACAATCAATCCTTTAATTTGTATCGTGCCTTTCCTACACAAGGCATAAATCATAAACATTAAAATCTACATACACACAAAAAAATATGATTAAACGCAGACATTAAAGTAGCAATATGTAAGATTTTCATGTCATGTGATCATTAAAGGGCCCTAATCTGTCAAAAGGTGAAGAAGATGACATGTCTGGGATCAAGTCTTTCATTCAGACAGAAGACATGTTTTATTGTCAATGGTAGAGACAGCACGAACAACACGAACAACAGAATGCAAGTGTATTATACAGAGCGGAGGCATGGAGACCTCCAATCAGCAGCTGCCACGGTGCCATGTAGCTTGGCCTTCAGATAGACAAAACAAGGGAAAAGTACTGGCTTCTGCACATTGATAGAATGATGAGTTTAACTTTAACAAAAGTTGCTTCAAAGTGTTATGAAATCTCACAAAGGCAATAATAAAACCTGCTCTTTTCCAACACTTCTTTAACTGATGACAGTAGTTCAGAGATACTTGACTTTCTAAATTACTTTTCCAGTCTCTAAATCTTGTTATTGTTTTCATTTCGATGTCCCGCCCTCCACTGTTTCTCCAATCAGAAAGTCTGTGAGGCGTCAGAACTCACCGCGTGGAGCTAATCTCACTGGTAAAGTACCATGTGGCACAGAACTAAAAAAAGGTCTCGTTATGATTCTCAAATCATTAACGACAAAACAAGGAATAAAAACAGAATTTCTATCTTTGTGAAAAAGGTGTTGGTTATAGATTTGTTGTTGACAAAACTCTTGTCTATTCAGCTGTTATGGTCCCAGCTGGATTCGTCTGCATATCTGGCAACCTGAGTCAGGGAGAGTGGGAGAGGCTGCAGTACTGCAGTACTTTGTTTCTGCGTTAATACGCAGAAACAAAGTGTCCTATCATAACTATGCAGACGACACTCAGATCTATGTCTCACTGACTGCAGGAGAACATGGACCAGTGGACTCACTCCTTCACTGTATCCAACAGATCAGTGAGTGGATGCAAAACAACTTCCTTCAGCTAAACGCAGACAAAACTGAAATGATTGTCTTTGGTCCCCAGAAACAAAGAGAGAGCGTCATCTGTCACCTACAGTCTCTCTCCCTAAAACCTTCAAACAAGGTCAGAAATCTAGGGGTAATACTGGACTCAGACTCAAATTTTAATAGCCACATCAAATCAGTAACATCAGCAGCTTTTTACCGTCTAAAAAACATTGCCAGGATTAAAAACATAGTGTCTAAAGCAGACCTGGAGATTCTTATCCATGCATTTGTCTCCAGTAGGTTAGACTACTGCAATGGCCTGCTCACAGGTCTGTCCAAACAGGCTGTAAAACAGCTGCAGTACATTCAAAATGCAGCAGCTCGAGTCCTGACTAGAACCAGGAAGTACGACCACATTAGTCCAGTTCTCAGGTCTCTGCACTGGCTTCCTGTGGCTCAGAGAATAGACTTTAAAACAGCTCTGCTTGTGTACAAGTCTCTCCATGGCCTCGCACCAAACTATAATAGTGACATGTTAGTCCCATATGAACCAGCCCGGACTCTGAGGAGCACAGGGACTGGACTCCTGTTGGGACTCTGAGGAGCACAGGGACTGGACTCCTGTTAGTGCCCAGAGTCAGAACTAAACATGAGGAGGCTGCTTTTCAGATTCATGCTGCTAAAATCTGGAACAGTCTTCCTGAAGATGTGAGACAGGCCTCCTCTCTGACAATGTTTAAAACCAGGTTAAAGACAGTTCTGTTTAGCTGTGCATACAACTGAGGGATTTTATATTTTTATCGTTCTTTTTAATGTTCTGTGATAATTTATGATTTTAATGCTTTCTTGTTTTGTTCAGCACTTTGAATTGCCTTGTGTATGAATTGTGCTATATAAATAAACTTGCCTTGCCTTGCCTTACCACTTTTGGCCACATGTTCATTACATACTGCTCCTTTAAGAAAGAGCAGAGTGTTGTTTGATCAGTAAAGTGTGACGCTGCAGCTGTCGGTCCTCACCTCCTCCGTTCTTGTAGGCCAGATACGGAAACCTCCAGATGTTTCCCAGACCCACAGCGTAACCGATCGTCGACAGCATGTAGTCCGTTTTACTGGACCAGTTTCCCCGCTCCTGGTTCTCATCCTCTTCTCCCACATGTCCGTCCTGAACCACACAGACCACCACAGACCACCACAGTTTAACACAATCCACAATGTCGGTCCAGTCAAGTCACATAAGGAGGTGTATAGTGCAGGGATGGCCAACTATTTTAACCAGGGGCCATGTTGGGATATCTCCATGTTGTGAGGCCGGACCGTCTCATTAATCATTTTCAAATCGTATAATCTGCCGCATCTGTTGAGTTTTACTTATGATACGTTGCTGTTTTCCTTATGTTTTATTAATTTACATGATGAACAAGGATAAGGAGGAATTAAACAAGTTTATCCACGTTTCGTATTTCAAATTAGAAATCCAGACTTCTTAATAGAGCTCTAAGAATTATCAATGACTCTTCTGGCCACCCTGGAAAAGCCATGTTCCAGCTTCTTCCCTCTAACAGAAGATATCGCTCTTTGAGATGCAGGACATCTCGTTACGCTAACAGTTTTTATCCACAAGCTGTTATCAGTGTGAACAGAGCACTTTAATGATTTGCACTTGTTTTGAAACAGTTTTAGTCGATCGATTTCACAGTGACATTTGTTTACTGTTTTATTTGTTTTATTTCTGTACTTTTAATGTTGTTTTATGTCTGTATTTGTCTGTGCACACTGGAGACTTTTGCTAATGTATTCCAATGTGTTTATATTCTGCAAATGGCAAATAAACTGATTCTGAATCTGATCCGGAGCCTGACAGGGATGTGAAAGGGGCCGCATGTGGCACCCAGGCCGCAGTTTGCCCGTGCTGCTGGTTATAGAGTTTACTCCATGGAGGAATGTTAGTTTTAATCTAGAATGATAATATTTTCCAACATCAATGACAACAACACTTGCTGGACGTTTAAGCTGAAATTCAAGAGAAAGTCATTATTGTCCACATATAGGCTGCACTTGAATATAAGCTGCAGGTTTTTTATGTTGTGATTTTACACAAAGAGAAGATGGAGCAAAACAAAGACGATAGACTGGATTTAGTGACAACGTTTTTAAGGCACTGTGGAATCACTAAATCCAATAAATAAATAGAAATAAAACTTGATGGAGTCAAAATGAAAAGTTCATAAACTCTGCTCTGAAGCTGTGTCTCTCTGCTGTTCACATAAACACATCAGGAAGCAGGAATGTGTGCTACGTCATCAGCTCTGGAGATTCCTGAACTCCAGGGGGCGACATACATTGGCCGCATCACTATCTGCCGCAGAGAATGTAGTTTCCGGACTAAATAATAATAATAATAATAATAATAATGATTCATTGATTTTATATAGCACTATTTTGGACACTTAAAGACACATTTTTATTCATTCACTCCAAACACGGTGGTGATAAACTGCTATTGTAGCCACAGCTGCCCTGGGGCACACTGACAGAAGCAAGGCAACCAGTCTGTGCCATCAGTCCCTCCCACCACCACACACCAGACTCATTCTAATGTGGGTGAAGTGTCTTGCCTAAGAACACAACAACAGTTTGGCACTTTACAGCCACAGCCGCCCCACTGTGGCACCGGGTGTTCCCAGAGGTCTCCCATCACAGTACTGACCAGGCCCTGCCCTGCTTAGCCTCATAGGTCTTTCACCTACAGACGGCACGTGGCTGAGTGGATAGCACTCTCGCCTCTCAGCAAGAAGGTCCTGGGTTCGAATCCCGGTCAGACCAGGGCCTTTCTGAGTGGAGTTTGCATGTTCTCCCCGTGTCTGCGTAGGTTTCCTCCGGGTACTCCGGTTTCCCCTACCACTAAAAATATGTCCAATAGTTCTGGCATGTGCCTCCTGTACTGGCGACCCCGCTCCCATCTCTGTGTGGAGTGAGAGACAAATGCCCAAAATTAACAATTGTAAACCGCTTTGAGACTCAGATCTGCAGTGAAAAGGCGGTATATAAATAAAAACTTACTTACTTACAGATATTGCATTAGTCATTCTTCACATGACATGAAGACAAAAAAGAGTACTGTTGTATGTATGTTGTGTGTGTCCCGAGTCCAGCTCCCGAGTCCAGCTCCCGAGTCCAGCTCCCAAGTCCAGTGTATGTCTGTGGTTTGGTTTGTTGGGTTGCGTAAAGGAACAACCTCGGAAATCTCCATAAATGTGCAGAGCTAAGATACTGCAGAGGACCCGAGCTGAGAGAGGGCTAACTGCCCCCGGAGGGTGAGAAACATGTTTAATCATATACCACAGTGGGGCGGCTGTGGCTGTAAAGTGCAAAACTGTGGTTGTGTCCTTAGGCAAGACACTTCACCCACATTAGAATGAGTCTGGTCTGTGTGTGAGTGGTTGGTGGTGGTCGGAGCGGCCGATGGCACAGACTGGTTGCCTCGCTTCTGTCCCTGTGCCCCAGGGCAGTCCTGGCTACAGTGGTAGTTCATCACCACTGTGTAAGGAGTGATAGAATAATGAGTGCAGCGCTGTTTAAAACCGATGCATTATTATCATTATCATTGATAAGATGAAGACGACGCAGTCAGATGTAAATTCTTTTAAAATGTTTGACTCAATACAGAAACATTTTAGGACAAAAACGCAATGAAAGAAGATTCAGGGAAACACCACAGACTTTACAGTAAATCCCCATTACCTTGTTAATGTCATATATTAAAGGTACAGAGGAGGATTTTCCACTTCTGGGTGGATCATCAAATAAGACCAGAGAGTTTTGTTCAAAAAGGAGAGGGCGTTTTTTTCCGAAAATATAAAACAAATCCTCCTATAAACCTTTAATTAAACAAAGAGATTAAGAGATTTCAGTGATGGATCCGCAGTTACAGAACAGTAGGAATGAGCAGCACACAGCACAAGATAAATGAACAATAACTATATACAAAATAAAAAACAATCTCTGACTTTAGCATAATAAAGAATCACTTATAAAACACTGTGTATTCTAGTGTAAGAAATATGGTAGATTGTATGGGACACATTCTGATCATGATTGCACATATAAACAAATAAAAATAACCTGTTCAGAGGCTGTTGTTCTGCTGGAGATCAGGTCTGCGATACTGTCCCATCCGCTTTTCTTCATCTTTTATCCTTGGGTCTAATTCTTGACACACAATGGATGCACTTGTCTCAGGTGAGTGTTTATGAAGAAAACGTCTCCTGCTGGACAGACAGGGGTACTGCAGCTCAGCCAATCACACGCAGGCCGGTTAATCTGTCGGCCAATCACAGCCATTCACCTGCTCAAACTGGGCATGGACATTTTACAACACAGAGAGTAAGAAAATGAATGAATGAAATGGACACGAAGCAAATCATAACATGTGGAAAATGTAAAGAGTTTGATAGACAGTCACTGAAACTGGACCAAAACTTTCTGTCTGGAACTGAAAAATAATAACAATGTTTTCTCTGAAAGATTCATTTTATACCATTGTTGCATTGTTTAAATGAGACACTGTAGACAAAATAGCACTAGCAACAGTAGCAGTAGTAGTAGTAGTAGTAGTAGTAGTAGTAGTAGCACTAGTAGTATAATGGCAGTAGTAGCAGTAGTAGTATAATGGCAGTAGTAGCCAGTAGTAGCAGTAGTAGCAGTAGTAGTAGTAGTAGTAGCAGTAGTAGCAGTAGTAGTAGTAGTAGCAGTAGTAGCAGTGGTAGTAGTAGTAGCAGTAGTAGCAGTGGTAGTAGTAGTAGCAGTAGTAGTAGTAGTAGCTGTAACACCATTATACCAGTGCCAGTACCAGTAAGTACTATTTAAGTAAGTATAGTTGTAGTAGCAGTAGTGTTTTTAGGTGTAGTAGTAGTATCACGAGGAGTGAAGTAGCAGTAGTAGTGTACATTCTGTGTGTGTCATTTTACTGTCATGTGTTTTGTTGTAGGGCTTTGTTGGTTTTCTGACTGTATTGTAGTCTGTTGTTGAACGGCTGGGAGGGGATTGGATTAAAATGAGCTTTTTGCTTTGACCAATCCCTTGGCAGTAGTAGTAGTAGTAACAGTAGTAATAGTAGTAGTAGTAGTAGCAGCAGTAATAGCAGTATCTAATTCTGGCATATTTACTTGCATAATGTATTTTAATATGCACTGTCCCTTTAAGAAATAAAAAAATAAAAAAAGTTGTAGCAGTAGTAATAGTAGTAGCAGTTACAGTAGTAGCAGTAGTAGTATGTACCATTATGGAGCAGAATCAGGGAGTGTAGCGTTCTTCACATACCCAGTAGCTGTAAGGATTTGTGGTTTTCTGAGTAACGTTTTGTCCTTGTGAGTTGTGAGTTCTCTGTGGTGACACGGGACGAAGCCGACTCAGCGTTTACCAGAAATGATAACAATAATAAAGCAGCGGTGTCTTAACAGATAATAGACCATAGCATTGTCCACCTCTGCATCAGACTGAGTCACGGTCTGAGGAGAGCAACGGCCAGGACTGAGAACTAATGTTAGAAATGTGTCAAGCTCAGACCAGTTTGAGACTGATGCTAATGGGACACTATGGCATGTTTTACTTCATTTTAAAGCCTATTTTCTCAGGGAAACAGTCATATAATTTAGTCTGTTCTGAAATGGTAATTGACATGTCACTAGAAATTAAGGCCAAAGATTGTTGTATTTTTATTTAACAACACTGCAAAAAATGATCAAATATAAGGTAAAAATTGTGTGTTTTTTTAACTTAATCTGACACATTCTGACCGTGTTAAAACAAGATTCTCCGGTGGGACAAAGCCATTTAGTCCAAGGACTGTTGCTTTATTTTCTCATTCCAAGGGAGACATTTCTTGTATCTTTTTAAAATCAACATCATTTTGCTTCGTCCCGTTGGCTCAGTCAGAATGTGCTCAAATTAAGATACATTTTGCAATTATATTTTTCTTTTTAACAGTTGGCCCAGTTGTGATTAAATCTAGCCTGGCCTTATCCATCCGTACACTCCGCTTGAATTCCCTCCGACCAATCAGAGAGCGCGGGAGGCGGGTGTTGTAGTTAGATGTGGGTGACGTCAAGAGTTTGCGCCGAACGGGCAGGTTTTAGTTTGCCGATGGTGAAGAATGAGATAGTAAAGTAATCCGGTCTGGTTCTATCAAGAAATTGAAGCCGGAGCAAGAGAAATGTTTAGCAAATTTAATTTCTGCAAAGATTTTGGCGCTACTCCCCACGGGCTCCAATAGCGGCAAAGGAGATGGCTAAAGCTAGGCTAAATGCTAAATGCTAACGACTCTCAGTAAACTCAGATCCAATCGTTCCAATTTGCAAAACGAGTTCACCCCTCCCACCTGTTAACGGAGTCAATGGAGCAAATCCAGACCTTCGTACGAAATAAAATGTGTTCCATGGCGAGGTACGACCGGGCTAGATTAAATCCAAATCAACAAGAAAATAATATCCAAACTCAGGTCAAATGAAATTACTTTGTCAAAATAAATAAACAGATAATGATTATAAAAAGTAAACCGTAGACCACTTTTGTTCTCAATCAGTTCTCAGGTTTTTAAACTTGGCCTCGGTCCAAAAAGAGTTGCCTTTAATCCCCTTTAACAACACGAGGCTGGTCTCTGCTTCTGACTGAAACTTGGTCCCCATGAGGCCGACCAGAATATGAATAAATGTGTCATGAAATCATAATACAGACTCACACTTAACTTAAAAAGATCAAAGTCCTCATACATGTCTTAAATAAAGAAACACTTTTCATTTGTTGATATTTGCCTGCACATTTCAAATCCATTTTATTAATTATTTTCATTGTTCAAAGGATGTGCTATTGTCCAGCTGCAGTGTTCTGTAGTGTCTCTGTCTTTAAAACGTCCTCCTTCCCAATCAGAAAACCCTCTCCCGGTTGCAGTTGGTCCAGAACGCAGCAGCACGACTTTTAACGGGGGCCAGAAAGCGCGAACACATCACCCCTTGTACTCGCGTCTTTGCACTGGCTCCCTGTTAATTTTAGAATTGATTTTAAAATTTTACTGTTTGTTTTTAAATCTTTGCATGGACAGGCCCCTGATTACATCTCGGACCTCATCCAAATTTACACTCCTGCGCGCGCCCTGAGGTCCGAGAGCCAGCTCCAGCTCATGGTCCCTAACGCGAGACTTAAAACCCGGGGGGACAGAGCCTTCTCTGTGGTCGGCCCTAAGCTCTGGAACGCTCTTCCCCTCCATGTCCGGACGGCCCCCACATTGTTTTAAGTCTCGTCTTAAGACCCACTTTTACTCTGTGGCTTTTAACACTGTGTGAGTTGTGTGGTCCTCTGTGTTTTTCTTTTATTTCTATTTATGGTTTTAATCTGTTTTATATATTTTTATTTTTTTATACTTGGTGAAGCTAAGGATAAGTTGTTATTTATTTTATACTTTTTTGTGCAGCACTTTGGAAACGTAACTGTTGTTTAAATGTGCTATATAAATAAAGTGGATTGGATTGGATTGGATTCCCGTCTCCTGTCTGCTCTGTTGTAATGATTGATCAAGGATTCACCGGTTTATAGATGTTTTGAGCGTTTTATGGTCTTTTAACTTTTTTTTCAGAACTGGTTTTATATTAACTGCCTCAAGGCGAGGCTCCAAAAGTTTATTTGTTTAGCCCAGTTCACACACGAGACAAGACAATGCGGGCTCGGCAAAACAAGAAAATAGCTTTCACTGGACTGAGACTAGACTCAAGAAGAAAATCACCAAGGAGCAAACATTCTAGCTACACACACACACACACACACACACACACACACCTAGATTCTAACATTCTCAGAGTAGAAGCCCGCCTCACATTTTCGGGAATAGCTATTTTCATCAAGGGATTGCAGTGCGATTACTGTTAATTGTGCGTCACTTCAGGCCCTGAGCGTGTTGTGTTGTGGAGGTTAACAATAGGAGAAGGTTGTGCGGCCGATGACGTTTATCTGTAAAACCACTGTCAACAAGTGGGATTTATCAGACACACGAGTCACTGAGCTAACTATAACACAACACTGAATTAGATCAAACATACACACACACACACATACACACACACATATCCATATACAGCCACAAACACACATGCACAATACGTACACACAAGCACACACATACAGTCACACACTATACATACACACAGGTACATTCAACCATATATACACACACATACACACACATGCACACACCCACGCATAAATACACACATGCACACACACATGTACACACACACATGTACACACACACACATATGCATACACACACACGCATGGATGCACATAAAGACACAAATAAATAAAGCCACACATGCACATACAGTCACACACACGCAATAGATACACACAGACACATACAATACAATACATACACACACACATATACAGTCACACATATGCACACACACACACACACACACGGACACACATAAACACAAAAATATGCACACACACATAGAGAGTTCAAACAGGTCAAACATCAGTAACACATTTATCCAGTGAAGTGTGTGTGTGTTTCTGGTGTGAACCTTGTTAAACACTTGAACGCACACACACAGGCACACACACACACACACACTCTCGTTTGAACCCTGTTAAACACTTGAACGCACACACACAAAGAACTGATTTTATATCTTTATTTAAGGACAAACAGAGTGAGAGCTCTGTCCTTGTTTCTGGGTCATGAGTTCATCCTGGAGGATACACACCCGGAGATGTGTGTGTTGTTTCTTCATCTAGGGTCAATGAAACAGACACACAACACAGGCTCACAACACAAACTCACACCACAGACACACAACACGCACTCACTAATTTAATATTTTTTTAAAGACACACACCCACGCACCCACTCAGAGTCATGCACACACACACACACACACACACACACACACACACACACACACACACAGTCCTGAATAACTACTGTATGAGATCAATAAAACAGAATCAAAACATTCCGTCTGTATTTAGAAAGACTTCTGTTTAGGTTCAGACAAACGTTATGACCTGAGTCTTTTAACTGGGTCACTTCACACCTGGATCTTTTTAATTTAACAAATCAACAAAACAAAAGTGAAGAAAAGTGGAGATAAAACAAACTGAAAATGAACTATTCTTTATTTGAAACAGGCTCTAGAACTGAACAAACCTTTGTCAAAGTCAAATCTTCCATGCAACATTTACTCACATAAACACCTGGAACTCACCACGAAACATAAAAGACAGTCTAAATAAAGGAAATAAATGTTGCACAATGCCCTAAAAAGGAAAGAAAACACATTTATACTTTTTTAATCCTCTGTATACCACATTATTTCAATAGAAACCAATGGAAAAAGTGGTTCTTATAGATGTGCCCTATTCTTGGGTTTCATGAACCTGGCCTGTAGGGGGCGCATGAGCAGAGGAGGGACCGTTTTGCTCCCATTGAAAACCACATAAAGTCTGTTTTGGAGTCAAAGGCTCTCCTCCTGTGCGGTGTACGGTTGTTGGAACAGTCGGAGACACTCAACTCTAAAATATTTCTCTAAAGAGTCTTGATTTCAGGCATTTTTGGAGAAAAAAAAAACAGAAGAAATTGCTGTGTTTCATTTGGGTGGCCTGCAGGGGGCACTATCTGGGAAAGCCTTGATCCACCTCGCCCGCCTCATTCCAGTGATTTTTTCAAAGTGTCCTCCTTTATATGAGACCACAGTTGGAACATGAACAAACTCTTGTGTTTCTCTTTGTGCGGTTGCTACAAGCGTACACCGCACAAAAAGATGGCATTTTGACAGTGCTTCTTCTTCTACTATATCTCCGTGTATAAACCCGGCAGACTGCACCCCCAGGATACGTCACGTCCTGTCCTACGCTTGTTATTCGCGCCACTGCCCTGACGTCAGATGAAACCCAAGAATTACAGTGCCTCTCAAAAGTACTCATACGTCATAAACTTTTTGCACGTTTTGTCAAGTTTACGACCATAAACAAAAAGATTTTATTTCGATTATTTTTCTTAAAGTCCACACACAGCTAATAGACAATTGTGAAGTGAAAGTAAAATATTCTTCAAAACATAGAAAACTGAGAAGTAGGGCGTGCAAAAGTATTCATACAGTCTGAGTTAACCCTTCGAGCACCAAAGTAGCAGATTAGCTAAGCTCCTACATCCAGGACACTATCTATACAGAGACTTGGCTTCCCACAAATGTCTCCCTACATTTTTCTTACATAATTTTCTTTTTTTTTTTTTGTTGATTAAAGTTACAGGGCGTCACATTTTGTCTATTACACAAATACATTTCTCAAAAAAAACCCTGGCGCCTAAAAGTTTAATACTATGTGGAATCCCCAGCAGTTTTTGTTCTAATAATGTCCTGTTTTTTGCTCCATCCTCTTTCCCATAACTTAACTGTCCCTGCAGAAGAAAAGCAGCCCCATAACATGATGCTGCCACCCCCATATTTGACTTTGGGGTTGGCGCACTGACTAGTGTAAGTTTGAGTTCACAAATCTGTGTCCCCATGTATAGACTCCCCCTGGTGAGCTGTTTGTGTCTGCATCTCCTCCAGAGTAACCATTGGCCTCTTGTCTGCATCTGTCATCCGTGTTGTCCTAGTTGGCGCTTTCCGATTGTAAACATGACAAAATGTGGCCATACCTGCAGATAAAAGCCATCTGCTGTCAGACATCTGAAGCTAAGCAGGTCAGGGCCTGGTCATAACTGTGATGGGAGACCTCTAGGAACACCAGGTGCCACAGTGAAGCGTCTTTGAGAGTCCAGAAAAGCGCTGTATAAAACTGATGCAGTAGTACTTTGGAGAGGCTCTGTACACCGCCTGATCGCTCGCCGTGGCTCAACTATTCCAGGGTTGGAAAGCTAACATACTGCACCATATTTAACAACATTGTATTACACTAAATCTGTAACAAAAACAGTCTAATCTAAACCACACTGTAGGCAAGAAGTGTCATTCTCCACATCTCAATGATACACTGTTAGAGCCACTTTTGATACAATATTCCATTTTCGGAACGGTCAAAAGGGGTTTAGCTTGTTTACATCATTTAGAAACGGGTCATGCATACCCAAAAAACACTAGAAAATCCAAAAAACGTGTTACAAAAATCAATATTTGAGTTAAAAAACAAATATTATGCATTCTCTTTGTTATTGCTGGCCCAGAATATCTACTGCATGTATTAGAAATTAAAATAGAAAAAATATTGAAAATATTGATAGCATATATAATGATAAAGAAATGATTGAACGCAGTGATGCATCTCCATCTAGTGGCAAAAGTGGAGAACTACATCCTGCTAGTGGTTCAGACTCCGGTTTTAACTAGATTTTGTGATACTAATATTTGTGTATATACTTTCTTCTTCTGTACCTATGCTCCCATCCAATAGTCATGACAGTGGCGGGGTGAGATCAGACGTTGATCTCGTTGGCCTGCCGCAGACACATGGACGACTCGCTGGGAATGTCCACTCGGCTGATCTCGTTCCCGTCCAGACGCAGCGTGCGCAGTTTGGAGAAGTTGGAGATGTCCACGACGCTGCAGAAGCTGCCCAGGGTGAACTCTAAAGGGGAAGAGGGAAACACACTCAAAACACACTCAAAACACACTCAAAACACACCCCGACAACGGCTCTGTCACAAGTACCGTTGACCCTCAGACAAGTACCTTTGACCCTCAGACTTATCAGAGAACACCTATTCTCTAAGATGACACTTTATGTTAGATATCGTTGCATTTCCTGTGTTTGAAATTGCTCAACAAAACAAGAAGTTGAAATGATTGAAAGAAGTGTTGAAGTGATAAATAATCACGTACCTTTGATGCTGTTGACCTGCTGTACCTTTGATGCTGTTGACCTGCTGTACCTTTGATGCTAAGTATGTAAGTTATCTTTATCTATATACTGTAGGAACTTTTCACAGACCACAAGCACTTGTCTCTCACTCCACACAGAGATGAGGAGGCACATGTCAGACCTATGGTACATGTTTTAGTGGTAGGGAAACAGGAGCACCCGGAGGAAACCTATACAGACACAGGGAGAACATGCAAACTCCACATAGAAAGGCAGGGACTCAAACCCAGAACCTTCTTGCTATGAGGTACAAGCGCTAACCTCTGCGCCACCATGCCGCTGTACCTGATACTGATACTGTTGGCCTGCAGGTACAGGTGCTGTACCTTTGATACTGTTGGCGTGCAGGTACAGGTGCTGTACCTTTGATACTGTTGGCCTGCAGGTACAGGTGCTGTACCTTTGATACTGTTGGCCTGCAGGTACAGGTGCTGTACCTTTGATACTGTTGGCCTGCAGGTACAGGTGCTGTACCTTTGATACTGTTGGCCTGCAGGTACAGGTGCTGTACCTTTGAAACTGTTGGCCTGCAGGTACAGGTGCTGTACCTTTGATACTGTTGGCCTGCAGGTACAGGTGCTGTACCTTTGATACTGTTGGCCTGCAGGTACAGGTGCTGTACCTTTGATACTGTTGGCCTGCAGGTACAGGTGCTGTACCTTTGATACTGTTGGCCTGCAGGTACAGGTGCTGTACCTTTGATACTGTTGGCCTGCAGGTACAGGTGCTGCAGGGTGGTGCTGACGATGGGGATGCGCTCCAGGCGGTTGTGGCTCAGGTCCAGCTCCACGAGGCCGCTGACGTTGAAGGCGTTTGGGGGGATGCCGGTGTCCGTGAGGCGGTTGTGAGACAGTCGTACGAACTGCAGCTGACTGAGGCCGCCCAGGAAGCCCTCCGGGACCGTGGCGATGGCGTTGGACTCGATGTAGAGCTGGTGCAGCTGAGCGGGCAGCGACTCCGGGACCTGAACCAGACGCACGATTATACTTTACTGTTGTGAGGTTTTACTTTTTACTTTTTTAGTTCAAACACAGGAAATACAACAATAACAAACAAATACAACAATAACAAACAAATACAACAATAACAAACAAATACAACAATAACAAACAAATACAACAATAACAAACAAATAGAACCAAAGAACTCCTGTGTTTGTTATTTTTGTATTTTTTAAAACTGTTTTATTCTCTGATTTGTAAAGACTTATAGAGGACTTTTTGAGCTGGAGGATTTTACCTATTGTATATTTTTTTAGTGATGTGGAAACTGGAGCACCTGGAGGAAAACTAGGAGGAAACTCAGACACAAGGAGAACATGCAAACTCCACTCAGAAAGCTCCTGTTCGGACCAGGATTGTTCAAGTGGATCCTGGACTCATAAACCTTTACCCTGTTTATGAGTCCAGTCTGAGTTCTCTGAAGCTAAGCAGGGCAGGGTCTGGATAGTACTGTGATGGGAGACGTCTGGGAACACTAGGTGCCACAGTGGGGCGGCTGCGGCTGTAAAGGACCACACTGCTGTTGTGTCCTTAGAATGAGTCTGGTGTGTGAATGGTTGGTGGTGGTGGGAGGGGCTGATTGCACAGACTGGTTGCCTCGGTTCTAACAGTGTGCCCCAGGGCAGCTGTGGCTACAGTAGTAATTGATCACCACTGTGTATGGCGTGAAAGAATTGTAATGATGTGATGCGTCTTTGAGTGTCCAAAAAAGCACTGTATAAAAGTAATGCATTATTATTATTATTATTATTATTATTATCATTATTATAAACCTTAATCCTGGACTGTTCATTTCTCACCAGAAGCCTCTCAAGCCACTGTTGCTTTGGCCTCCAGTGTATTCTAATTATAGGTAGTAGCGATCTCAGCGCAGAGGGACATCACACTTCCTAAAATGTGAGCCTTTTATAATTTACTGAAAGGGAAATGTGACCCATCCTTTGAATTAGTGCCGGTTCAACCCCAGAGGAGCAGGGCCTGGGACCGGCTCCAGATGTGGCTGGTCTGGATCAGGACCTTCACTTCAGGAGAGAGAGAGAAGAAACCAGACTCAGGGAGAAACTCACAGAACAGTAAAAAGGTCGAAGGCCAGAGTTCTAATCACTGAGGAACCACGCTGACGATGAGGGATTGTGGAATAATGACTGTGATTTAAAGAATGCATTTTTTTGCAGACGCATTTTTCTTTTAAATATTGTGTGAAAACGTCCCTAAACCCTAAAAGTATAAAGTTATCATGTGTTTTCAAATAGTAATAGAATTGACCAGATGTCTATAGTCTAGCGGAATGATAAAAATAAACCTATGGGATGTGTTTACCTCCTTCACCCTCTTCCTGTTTCTCACGAGTAAACGGATTTTCTAAAACCTAAAATGACTGAACAGAAAATGCCAATTTCACGTTTGCTTCACTCTCCCTGTGACAAAGAAAAGAAAAAGCTGGATGTTTGGTTTGGTGGAGAGTGAGGGGAGGGGAGGGGGGAGTGGTTTCCAGTTGTTGCTTTTTATTGATTATTAGGAGAACTAATAACACACATTTGTTTTAGTTTTATAGAGGGAGATGTCATTTCCAAGCTTCGAGTAGATAAAGTGACTCCAAAAGTGATTTACTGAATAGTTGAGGAAACTGTTCAAGGGTTAAACTTTAAACAATGATAAAATATAAGTTATTATTTGCTCGAATTGAGTGGTTTTAATCTTAATCTGACACATTTTGACTGTGTTTAAACAAGATTCCTCAGTGGGACAAAGCCATTTAGTCTTATTTCAAGAACTGTTGCTTTATATTTTCATTCCAAAGGAGACATTTCTTGTATAATTTTAAAACAAGATACTGTTCTGTGACCGCTGATGCAACACATTTCTTCACTGTGGCCCAAATAAATTATCTCTTCACATTAATCCTAAATCACCACTTCCTGCCTGTTTGAGCCTCTGGACTTCAGCCCAAACCTGGGGCCTCCTCCTCCTGCAATAACTTAATCTGCTTTATTCCCATAATAACTTAATGACTGAACTGTCTGCTTCTGCGATGGTTTGAGCAACAGTTTCCTGGTCTCTGCTCCTGCGATGGTCCTGCTGCTTCAGGCCTTAACTCTATGTTGTAAGTCATTGGGAAACTGGTTAAAGTCGGTGTCTGTAAATCTTATTGAAAGCTTAAAACTCATTGTTGCATTGCTCTGAGCGTGGACTGGAATTAGGTCAAAATCAGAGGAAGGGAAAAAAATTGTCAGGACACTCATACACGCTTCACATGTCATAATTAATTCACTCCAAACACAAACTGATGAACTACTGCTGTAGCCACAACTGCCCTGGGGCACAATGTCAGAAGCGAGGCAACCAGTCTGTGTCATCGGCCCCTCCCACCACCACCAAGCATTCACACACACACCAGACTCATTCTAATGTGAGAGAAGTGACACACAGTTTGGCAGTTTATACCCGCAGCTGACTCACTGTGGCATCTGGTGTTCCCAGAGGTCTCCCATTACAGTACTAACCAGGCCCTGCCCTGCTTAGCTTCAATTGTCTAATGGGATCTGGCGTTAACATAGGTAGGCATGGCAGTAGAGTAGGATTGGTAGCTGTAGGTTGTGTAGAGTGGAGTAGAGTAGACAGTAGAGCATAGAGTAGAGTAGAGTAGAGTAGGAGTAGGGTAGAGTAGAGTAGGGTAGAGTAGAGTAGAGTAGAGTAGGGTAGAGTAGAGTAGAGTAGAGTAGGGTAGGATAGGGTAGAGTAGGGTAGAGTAGGGTAGAGTAGGGTAGGGTAGGGTTGAGTAGGGTAGGGTAGAGTAGAGTAGGGTAGGGTAGGGTAGAGTAGGGTAGGGTAGAGTAGGGTAGAGTAGGGTAGAGTAGGCAGGGTAGGGTAGGGTTGAGTAGGGTAGGGTAGGTTAGAGTAGGGTTGGGTAGGGTAGAGTAGGGTAGAGTAGAGTAGGGTAGAGTAGGGTAGGGTAGGGTAGAGTAGGGTAGAGTAGAGTAGAGTAGGATAGGGTAGAGTAGGGTAGGGTGGGGTAGAGTAGAGTAGGGTAGGGTAGAGTAGAGTAGGGTAGGGTAGGGTAGAGTAGGGTAGGGTAAGGTAGTGTAGGGTAGTGTAGAGTAGGGTAGGGTAGAGTAGGGTAGGGTAGAGTAGAGTAGGGTAGGGTAGGGTAGAGTAGAGTAGGGTAGGGTAGGGTAGAGTAGGGTAGGGTAAGGTAGTGTAGGGTAGTGTAGAGTAGGGTAGGGTAGGGTAGGGTAGAGGAGAGTAGGGTAGAGTAGAGTAGCGTAGGATAGGGTAAGGTAGTGTAGGGGTGGAGCAGGGGCAGGCAGTAAGGGCAGGCTCTTTTTGTAGCCCTGGCACCTGGCACAGCTGATCAGTGGCATGTACACAACATGGCGTTTAAAACAGCATGTGGGCAACAGTCATTATGACTGTTTAAAGTTTACAGCAGTCATGGTTGTTGTCCAAATGCTGTTGTAAACACCTGTTCTCCCACTGTTTCCTTGTGAAATCCACTGATTTCTTGTCCTGACCCGGCGGCACGGTGGCTGAGTGGATAGCACTCTCGCCTCTCAGCAAGAAGGTCCTGGGTTCGAATCCCGGTCGGACCAGGGCCTTTCAGAGTGGAGTTTGCATGTTCTCCCCGTGTCTGCGTAGGTTTCCTCCGGGTACTCCGGTTTCCCCTACCACTAAAAATATGTCCAATAGTTCTGGCATGCGCCTCCTGTACTGGTGACCCCGCTCCCATCTCTGTGTGGAGTGAGAGACAAATGCCCAAAATTAACAATTGTAAACCGCTTTGAGACTCAGATCTGCAGTGAAAAGGCGGTATATAAATAAAAACGTACTTACTTACTTACCCTGTCCCCTGGTCCTCTGCTGGTCCCCCCCTTGTTCTCCCACCTGGTCCTGTCCCCTGGTCCTGTCCCCATGGTCCTCCATCCTGGTCCTCTCCCTAGGTCTTCCCTCCTGGTCCTGTCCCATGGTCCTGTCCTCTTGTCCCTTCCCTCGGTCCTCCCCCCTGGTCCTCCCACCAGGTCCTTCCCCCCAGTCCCCTCTCCTGGTCCCCCCCTGGTCCTCCCACCTGGTCCTCCCCCCTGGTACCTTGGTGAGCTGGTTCCCGCTGATGTCCAGCAGAGTGAGAGAGCTCAGACCCTTCAGGGCCGAGCTCATGTCTGAGATGTGGTTGTGCTGCAGGTACAGGACGGTCAGGTTGTCCATGCCCTCGAAGTCTGCGGCCACCACCTGCACCAGACACAGGTCACACATGGTACCGCACCAGACACAGGTTACACATGGTACCGCACCAGTGCCATAAGTCTGGATCCCGCTCAAACCAGATGGGCTGAACCGTGTGAAGAAACTCAATGTGATTTCTAACTGATCGAGAAATAGTTCAGAGTTTACACAGTTAATTCCTCCACCGTATTTTCAGTTTTATCAAAGTTTGATTACATTTTCACTTTTTGTATGTAATGTTATTGTTCAGCAGGACGCACTGTGAAATGTGCTATATAAATACATTTTAACAACAATAATAATAATAATACATGGGTGGACTGCTACTTTTCAAACCAATGAGGTTATGAAAACCTCTCAAAAAAGTCAGATTTCTACCAGTTATATTAAAATAGTAAGTGATTTAAAATGTTTTACCTTTAGTCCAAAAGTAATGAAGACCAAAAATGTTCACAAGCTGAGTAATTACTTTTCCAAAACTAAAAGCAGTCGAATTGACTGTTCTGAGATTTCTAACTGGTTTGAAGATTGAAAGGTAAACGCACAAATGTGATGATTGCGATTTGATCACATTTTAACTAAACTGCAACTTTTTTTTGCTCAGGGGTAAAAAAGTGTTGTAATCTTGAAAACAAAAGGATGAGGTTGGATGAGACTGAGTCTGGACTCTGAGTCCAGACTCTGAGTCCAGACTCTGAGTCCGGACTCTGAGGTCAGACCTTATCGATGGCGTTGTGGTCCAGGCGCAGGTCTCGGAGGGAGCGGGGCAGGCTCGGGGGCACACTGCTCAGGTTGTTGTGTTGGAGATACAGACGGTCCAGCGCCGCCAACTTCTGAAACGCCTGAACATGTGGAGAAGAGAGGGTTCATACACAACATTTGTCTAAACTTAAAATAAAAAATAATAATAAATCTCTACCTCTTTATTGATTTAGCATTGGTTTTTACAGCACTTTTCTGGACGCTCAAAACGCTTCACATGACATTATTCATTCACTCCAAACACGGCTGCAGCTGAGAATTATGAGAAATTGCCCAAATAATCTTTTGTTTTATTAGATTTTATTCTAAAAGTGTATTCAAATTAAAATTAAATTATGAAGTTTTTACCTTGAAAAACAGCAAAAACATTTTGTTGAAAGTCTATGCTAACAGCCACCAGTAAACAGTGTGTTGCTACGGTAACCAGCATCTGGTCTCCGCTGGTGGATAAGCAAGTGGGACCGGAACAGGTCCAGGACGAGAACCAAACCAGTCCAGGACCAGTTAAAAACTAGTCTAGGACCAGCTCCTTGAATAAAGGGCTCTAAGTGCCACAGAAAGAAATTGACAGAAAATGGTACGGAGCTAAAGGTGCAGGAGTCGTTTGACTGACTGTCAAACTGTCACGTTACAACCAAAGCCTTCAACATTTCGTCTGAACCAGTCATCCATTCAAATATTCTAAACCCTGTCATTACTTCTTTAAACTTAATGTAGGGTTTGGGTTGTATATACAGCTGTATATTTCTGCACTATAATGTACAGGATTAATACTTCTTATTTTGCTAAAGTTAGAGATTTTGATTTATTTTAGATTAGAGTTATTGGTGATGCAACATTGACATTTCCCCACTGTCTCCACTGTCTCCAGTTTAGTGCAGACCATGTGCAGCTTCAGATTCTCTAGTGGAATAAGTTCTCACTAAATCCTTCATATTTTTTGTTCTTTTGAAAACATCCTCAGAAGTCGCTGCTGTTACGTCTCTCTTCGTGCCACCACAGACACATTCATGTCGCAGTAAATCTGCTCTGAATTAAAGCTCAGACATGTAAAGCAGTTTGCACCTGCGAGGCATTAGCCAACACCAGTGCAATAAGTCTGGATCCCACTCAAACCAGATGGGCTGAACCATGTGAGGAAACATGTGTTTCAACTGACGGAGTGTCGAGAAATATAGTCCAGACAAGTTTACACAGCTCACATTCACCTTCTTATTGGACAACCGGATTAAAGGATCAAATCTGACATGGTTTTTGTGTAAAGAAGAACTACAAGACCCACAGCAGTCATTTATATCAGTTTTAGTTTGGTACTAGTTTTTATAAAAGTAAGTAATCTATATGTTTAATACATGTTTTAACTGAATTTAACTTGAAATACAGCAAAGACAGTTGAAAGGCTGAATGATTAAATAGTGTGCTTTTCCACCAGTGGAGAGCACTGTTGCTAACCCAACCCAGAACCAGTCCAGAACCAGTCCTGAACAATAAACTTAGAGTGACTTGGACAAAAGCTGCACTTTTATCCACGTGTTTATGCTTGTCATTTTGCTCCATCAGCTGCCTGGAGCTAACGACAGCTCACATTCCTGCTTCCTGATATGTTTATGTGAACTGTGCCGTAAGAGAAAAGTGAGACTGTTTTCATGTGAATAGTGCTGATGTCAAAACACATGGAAACTGTTCCTGCCACTGGCTGTTTCTGACTCCACCAACCTCAAATACAGAGAATTTTTTTAATGCAATTTTTCCGTATCTTTTCCATAACCATGGGAACTGGGGAGGGTGGGTCTTGATTTAGCAGGCCGCCGCAATTGCCTGTTGTAAAAGGATACTTCTACACGGAACTTCCTCTAACTCAGGGGTCTCCAACGTTTAACCCGGGAGAGCTACTTTTTTCGGGACAACATTGGCAGAGAGCGAGAGACAGTTGACAAGCTGTTTGTCTTCTTCGCCATGTAGTGTTATACTCATGAAATAATCTATCATGATCATGTTTTATATTTACTCATAAAACTATCCTATGGGGAGCTACTTTGAAGAGGGTGGCGAGCTACTGGTCTCTCCCAGGCCAAAGATTGGAGACCTATGTACCAATCCAGGCATGTCCAAACTTAGCCCCGGGGTCAATTGCGGCCCTCAGTGGCATTATACAGTATGGCCCTCTACCTTGCTAACTCAAAGTAGTCTCAAAGTAGAGATCATAGATGCAAGTTCACTGTGTCATCCATCCAACTTCAGCTCAGCCTATATACCACGTTCTAAAGCCCAGAACGTTTGGAATTCAGTCATTGGCTTCATTTTTACATGCTGTACTGGTTTTTGATTGTGTCACAAACTTCTGTTGATGGTGCTGTAGCCAACTTCAGCTCAGTTATGGATCATTTTAAAGCTCAAAACAGCCTTAATCCAGTCAAGACAGTTTTTCAATCCGTGAGATTGGCTCCTGGACTAGTCTGGTGAACTAAAATGGCCCTCTTTCTAAAATGTTTGGACACCCCTGGTCTAACATTCTGTAACTTAGAGGGTAATTTAGATGGAGCCTCAAACGCAGAAGATCCTTAGAGTCAGTAGAAAAGCTTCCTGAGCACATGACATGTTGGTGATACCTCTTTCCCAATGGCGTCGGAGCGGAGCTGGTTGTGGTGCATCATGAGCCAGACCAGGTTGGAGGCGTTGGTCATGGCGGCGTCAGGGATGGCGGAGATGTGGTTGTGCTGGAGGTACAGGTACTTGATGCGCTCGGGGATGAAGGGCATGGAGCTGAGGCCGCGGTTGTCACAGTACATGGCCACAGGGAAGGTGGGCGGGCAGTCGCACTCGGCCGGACAGTCCCCTCCGGTGCGGTCCGCCTGCAGAGCTGCCACCGCCTGCCCCCTCGGACCGTACAGCCACGAGAACGGGTCCCGCTGACAGAGAACGCCAGGCAGGAGGCCGCAGAGGAGCAGGAGAGACACTGGAGACATGCTGGGCTCTGGGTGTGGACTGTGGGGAGAGATGATACATTAAAACATTAGAGAGTTTAGGTGCAGCGTGCTGGGTCTAAATATTCAGACCCAAAATCACAGTTCAAACACAAGAAATTACACGCCATAGGTCCATTAAGGGGCAGAATACCAAAGTCCATGTCAGTCTTTAGTTGTTTAGTCCAGTGGTCCCAACCCCCAGTCAGCGGACCAGTACCGGGACATCGGACATTCGAACCGGGCCGCCAAGGAGAGAAAAAATAAATTCCGTATTTATTATCTATGTCTAATGATCTTTTATTTTGAAAAAGACCAGATTCTCTCATTACATCTTGGTCACGTGACACGATCGCGCTGAAAATTCTGCACAGAGGCTCCTAAGGAAGTGTTTGAGGCGAGTGTGAGAGATGTGATAAAGAGACCGGACAAACCGAAATGGGTTGAAGCTGAAAATGCGATGTCATTTTTGTGTTTCACGTGTAATGTTGTTGTATTTGGCCCACAGGCACATTTACTTTGGCCCTTGGAAGCAAAAATGTGGGCACCCCTGATATAGAGGCTTACTTATTATTAAAGAGCCTTTTAAATTACACTTTTATTTTCCGTCCTTCTCTTTAGCTTCCTGTTTCACTTCACTTTGAGGCAGTCCCACGGTGGTTTACATTGGTCTCCCATCCAATTACTAACCAAGACCTGACTTTTTTTTACAGCTTTTAATATAATCTACTGTTTTCTCCTGATTATCTTTAATATTTCCACCTTAAACAGCACACCAAAGCACTGACATAGCAGCGGATCACTGCAGCAAGAAGCAAATTTTACACATAAATTCTTTCACCCACAGCTAAATTAGTATAAATATATTTGTATTAAAGGGATTTGTTTCGCATCTTGAGACCAGATGGGCGAACATGCATGAATGTGGTCAGTGGATCCATCACAGACACATATTTAGAGAGACTCAGATCTTTTCCAGACATAAACAGAAAACAGGAAGGACTCAACAGGGACATGAGAGCGAGCCTTAACTTCAATTACTGATACATCTTAGTTGAAGAAGAAAGTTAAAGGAAAAATATTATGGAATTATTTTGGCTTATAATTGATAAAGAGACCAATTACTTTGTCATTTCCTGTTTTAGAATGTGAAATATCATCTTAAGTTGTACAAATAGGATGAAACAAGTTTTAAAGTTTTAAAAATGCTTTCTGCCTGCAACTCCCAATGCTACCACTAGAGGGAGGAGACATTTGAATATTAGTGGCTGCAAACATCAGTGATTGTAAAGAGCTCTGTTTCACTTGAGAAATTACCAAAAAACTAATCTATGGGCAACACTTTTGTTTTAAAAGGCAAAAAACTGTGATGTGTGATGTCGTACACTGCAAAAAGTGAATAAAAATAAGTCAAAAAATTGCACAAAATGATCTTTTTTTAAACGTATACAAGAAATGTCTCCTTTGGAATGAGAAAAGTAAGCAGTCATTTAAATAAGACTTAAACGGCTTTGTCCCATTGGCCAAACCACTTGATTTAAGCAGTTATTACCTCATATTTTCATCATTTTTTGCAGTGTAGTGGTACAATGACATCATATAATTACAGAACTGAGACAGGAGCTTTTAGACAGAAGGGGCGGAGCTACATGTTGCGGACAGATCAAAAATTCATGTCTCCTTTAGGGTTGATACTTGTTCTCCCGGGCAAGAAACAGAGATGTATGAATTTTAGCAAGACATGGATTGAATCAATGTAACTGGCAAGGATAAGGATGAGGTTAGTCCCATTGCCTCCGCAAGTCTGCCGCGCGCCTACCCCCCCCTGACCCGAGGAACAACATGCGTACCCCACATGTACCGCACCCGACACACGTTACCAACCTGGTCCCGCACCCAGTGCCCAATAACGCTCCAGGATCCCGCTCAAACGACTGGGGGTGAACCGCTGTGAACGAAACAACCTCACAATGTGATTTCTCAACCCGGATTCCGAGAACTTAGATCAGAGTTTACACCGGTAAATATCCTCCACCGTATTTTCAGTTTTATCAAAGTATGATTCACATTATTTCACTTTTTGTCTGTACTGTTATCTAGTTCCAGGCAGGGGGAACGCCCAGTGAAATGTGCTCATATAAATCACCTTTTAACCAACACCATATACTACAACATACATGGGTGGACTTGCTACACTATTCACACCAATCCAATGAGGATATCCTGAAACCTCTCTCCCCAAAAAGTCAGTCAGATTTACTACCCAGATTATATTATAAATCGTAAGTGATATAACGTCTATTACATTTAGTCACAGAAACGACTTGACGATCCCCAAAAATGATCACTAAGCCTGGAGTAATTACCTTTGCCCGAAAACCCTTAAAAGCAGGGCGAATTGACTGTTCTCGGAGCTTTCCCTAAATCGGTTTTTGACGCTTGACAAGGTACAAGCCCCCACAGTGATGTTGCACGCTTGGAGATTGCACACATTTATCAACTAACACCTGCACTAGAACTTGTTCTGTCCCGGGGTCAAACACGAGTTGTAATACTTGAAAAACCACAAGCGATGAAGTATGGATGAGACCAGAGTCCAGACTCTGACGTCCGGACTCTGCTGAGGCAGACCCCTTATCCGATGGGCGTGTGGTCCCAGGCGCGGTCACGGAGGGAGCGGGTGCGAGGCTCGGGTGCCACACAGCTTTCAGGTTGTTGTGTAGGTAGATTACCAGAACGGTCCCAGCGCGGCCCACCCTTTGATAACGACCTTGAACATGTGGAGGAAGAGAGGGTTCATATACAACAATCATTTGTCTAGAACTTAAAATCAACCAAAATAATCACAAAATATCTACCTCTTTCTTGATTTAGCCATTGGTTTTTACCAGCCACCTTTTCTGGACGCTGCAAAACGCTTCACATGGACATTATTCAATCACTACCAAACACGGCATGCCAGCTGAGGGAATTATGAGAAATTGCCCCCCAGAACTAATACTCTTTTGTCTTTATTAGATTATTATTCTTAAAAGTGTATTCAAATTAAAATTTAACATTTGACACCTTGAAAATGGTACGGAGCTAAAGGTGCAGGAGTCGTTTGACAGGTGACTGTCAGCTCCTTGAATAACTGTGACAGAAAATGGTACAAGACGTCGTTGACAACTGTCACAGTTACCAAAGCCTTCAACGATTTCGTCTGAACCAGTCATCCATTCAAATATTCTAAACCCTGTCATTACTTCTTTAAACTTAATGTAGGGTTTGGGTTGTATATACAGCTGTATATTTCTGCACTATAATGTACAGGATTAATACTTCTTATTTTGCTAAAGTTAGAGATTTAGATTTATTTTAGATTAGAGTTATTGGTGATGCAACATTGACATTTCCCCACTGTCTCCAGTTTAGTGCAGACCATGTGCAGCTTCAGATTCTCTGGTGGAAGAAGTTCTCACTAAATCCTTCATATTTTTTTTTCTTTTGAAAACATCCTCAGAAGTCGCTGCTGTTACGTCTCTCTTCGTGCCACCACAGACACATTCATGTCGCAGTAAATCTGCTCTGAATTAAAGCTCAGACATGTAAAGCAGTTTGCACCTGCGAGGCATTAGCCAACACCAGTGCAATAAGTCTGGATCCCACTCAAACCAGATGGGCTGAACCATGTGAGGAAACATGTGTTTCAACTGACGGAGTGTCGAGAAATATAGTCCAGACAAGTTTACACAGCTCACATTCACCTTCTTATTGGACAACCGGATTAAAGGATCAAATCTGACATGGTTTTTGTGTAAAGAAGAACTACAAGACCCACAGCAGTCATTTATATCAGTTTTAGTTTGGCACTAGTTTTTATAAAAGTAAGTAATCTATATGTTTAATACATGTTTTAACTGAATTTAACTTGAAATACAGCAAAGACAGTTGAAAGGCTGAATGATTAAATAGTGTGCTTTTCCACCAGTGGAGAGCACTGTTGCTAACCCAACCCAGAACCAGTCCAGAACCAGTCCAAAACCAGTCCAGAACCAGTCCTGAACAATAAACTTAGAGTGACTTGGACAAAAGCTGCACTTTTATCCACGTGTTTATGCTTGTCATTTTGCTCCATCAGCTGCCTGGAGCTAACGACAGCTCACATTCCTGCTTCCTGATATGTTTATGTGAACTGTGCCGTAAGAGAAAAGTGAGACTGTTTTCATGTGAATACTGCTGATGTCAAAACACACGGAAACTGTTCCTGCCACTGGCTGTTTCTGACTCCACCAACCTCAAATACAGAGAATTTTTTTAATGCAATTTTTCCGTATCTTTTCCATAACCATGGGAACTGGGGAGGGTGGGTCTTGATTTAGCAGGCCGCCGCAATTGCCTGTTGTAAAAGGATACTTCTACACGGAACTTCCTCTAACTCAGGGGTCTCCAACGTTTAACCCGGGAGAGCTACTTTTTTCGGGACAACATTGGCGTAGAGCGAGAGACAGTTGACAAGCTGTTTGTCTTCTTCGCCATGTAGTGTTATACTCATGAAATAATCTATCATGATCATGTTTTATATTTACTCATAAAACTATCCTATGGGGAGCTACTTTGAAGAGGGTGGCGAGCTACTGGTCTCTCCCAGGCCAAAGATTGGAGACCTATGTACCAATCCAGGCATGTCCAAACTTAGCCCCGGGGTCAATTGCGGCCCTCAGTGGCATTATACAGTATGGTCCTCTACCTTGCTAACTCAAAGCAGTCTCAAAGTAGAGATCATAGATGCAAGTTCACTGTGTCATCCATCCAACTTCAGCTCAGCCTATATACCCACGTTCTAAAGCCCAGAACGTTTGGAATTCAGTCATTGGCTTCATTTTTACATGCTGTACTGGTTTTTGATTGTGTCACAAACTTCTGTTGATGGTGCTGTAGCCAACTTCAGCTCAGTTATGGATCATTTTAAAGCTCAAAACAGCCTTAATCCAGTCAAGACAGTTTTTCAATCCGTGAGATTGGCTCCTGGACTAGTCTGGTGAACTAAAATGGCGCTCTTTCTAAAATGTTTGGACACCCCTGGTCTAACATTCTGTAACTTAGAGGGTAGTTTAGATGGAGCCTCAAACGCAGAAGATCCTTAGAGTCAGTAGAAAAGCTTCCTGAGCACATGACATGTTGGTGATACCTCTTTCCCGATGGCGTCGGAGCGGAGCTGGTTGTGGTGCATCATGAGCCAGACCAGGTTGGAGGCGTTGGTCATGGCGGCGTCAGGGATGGCGGAGATGTGGTTGTGCTGGAGGTACAGGTACTTGATGCGCTCGGGGATGAAGGGCATGGAGCTGAGGCCGCGGTTGTCACAGTACATGGCCACAGGGAAGGTGGGCGGGCAGTCGCACTCGGCCGGACAGTCCCCTCCGGTGCGGTCGGCCTGCAGAGCCGCCACCGCCTGCCCCCTCGGACCGTACAGCCACGAGAACGGGTCCCGCTGACAGAGAACGCCAGGCAGGAGGCCGCAGAGGAGCAGGAGAGACACTGGAGACATGCTGGGCTCTGGGTGTGGACTGTGGGGAGAGATGTTACATTAAAACATTAGAGAGTTTAGGTGCAGCGTGCTGGGTCTAAATATTCAATTCATTTCTCGAGTTGTCTATTCAATTCAATTCAGTATTTTTGAACAGCCCAAAATCACAGTTCAAACACAAGAAATTACACGCCATAGGGCCATTAGGGGCAGAATACCAAAGTCCATGTCAGTCTTTAGTTGTTTAGTCCAGTGGTCCCAACCCCCAGTCAGCGGACCAGTACCGGGACATCGGACATTCGAACCGGGCCGCCAAGGAGAGAAAAAATAAATTCCGTATTTATTATCTGAGTCTAATGATCTTTTATTTTGAAAAAGACCAGATTCTCTCCTTACATATTGGTCACGTGACACGATCGCGCTGAAAATTCTGCACAGAGGCTCCTAAGGAAGTGTTTGAGGCGAGTGTGAGAGATGTGATAAAGAGACCGGACAAACCGAAATGGGTTGAAGCTGAAAATGCGATGTCATTTTTGTGTTTCACGTGTAATATCGTTGTATTTGGCCCACAGGCACATTTACTTTGGCCCTTGGAAGCAAAAATGTGGGCACCCCTGATATAGAGGCTTACTTATTATTAAAGAGCCTTTTAAATTACACTTTTATTTTCCGTCCTTCTCTTTAGCTTCCTGTTTCACTTCACTTTGAGGCAGTCGACTCCCACAGTGGTTTACATTGGTCTCCCATCCAATTACTAACCAAGACCTGACTTTTTTTTACAGCTTTTTAATATAATCTACTGTTTTCTCCTGATTATCTTTAATATTTCCACCTTAAACAGCACACCAAAGCACTGACATAGCAGTGGATCACTGCAGCAAGAAGCAAATTTTACACATAAATTCTTTCACCCACAGCTAAATTAGTATAAATATATTTGTATTAAAGGGATTTGTTTCGCATCTTGTGACCAGATGGGCGAACATGCATGAATGTGGTCAGTGGATCCATCACAGACACATATTTAGAGAGAGTCAAATCTTTTCCAGACATAAACAGAAAACAGGAAGGACTCAACAGGGACATGAGAGCGAGCCTTAACTTCAATTACTGATAAATCTTAGTTATAGAGAAGAGAAAGAAGAAATATTATGGAATTATTTTGGCTTATAATTGATAAAGAGACCAATTACTTTGTCATTTCCTGTTTTAGAATGTGAAATATCATCTTAAGTTGTACAAATAGGATGAAACAAGTTTGAAAGTTTTAAAAATGCTTTCTGCCTGCAACTCCCAATGCTACCACTAGAGGGAGGAGACATTTGAATATTAGTGGCTGCAAACATCAGTGATTGTAAAGAGCTCTGTTTCACTTGAGAAATTACCAAAAAACTAATCTATGGTCAGCACTTTTGTTTTAAAAGGCAGAAAACTGTGATGTGTGATGTCGTACACTGCAAAAAGTGAATAAAAATAAGTCAAAAAATTGCACAAAATGATCTTTTTTTAAACGTATACAAGAAATGTCTCCTTTGGAATGAGAAAAGTAAGCAGTCATTTAAATAAGACTAAACGGCTTTGTCCCATTGGCCAAACCACTTATTTTCATCATTTTTTGCAGTGTAGTGGTACAATGACATCATATAATTACAGAACTGAGACAGGAGCTTTTAGACAGAAGGGGCGGAGCTACATGTTGCGGACGGATCAAAAATTCATGTCTCCTTTAGGGTTGATAGGCAAGAAATAGAGATGTATGAATTTTAGCAAGACATGGATTGAATCAATGTAACTGGCAAGGATAAGGATGAGGTTAGAGTTAAAGTTAAAGTTAAGGATGAGGTTAAGGATAAGGATAAGATACACTTTATTTATCCCTGTGGGGCAATTTGTCCTCTGCATTTGACCCATTCTGCAAACTATAGGTTCTCTGTCCGGAGCCTGGGAACCCGTCTCTCCTGGGAAATGATCTCCACATGTTTATGCTCGGCTTTAGCAGGACCAGAGCTGCGGGATTTTACCCATTTAACATGTTTTTAGTGGAAACCGGAGCTCCTGGAGGAAACCTACACAGACATGGCGAGAACATGCAAACTCCACTCAGAAAGACCATGCTCCGACCGGGATTTGAACCAGACCTTTTGGCTGAGAAGCGAGAGTACTAGCCACAAAAACCAAAATGAAATATAGAAAAAGTTACAACTCCGTCTTCGTCCAAACCATTTACAAAATCGACAAATCAAATCTGCTTTTCTTTAGAGCAGAGGTCCCCAATCTTTCTGAGCCGTGAGACACCTTTTTCCTATGTTTACTATGCCTTGCTCTATTCTCTTCCTCTCTTCTTTGACTGTTTCACCGAGAACCAAAGCCATTTCCAATTTGTTTGTGACTTCCTGTTACTTACAAGGCAATAAAAATGAAACTGATTTTATAGATAAGAAATCTGGCCAAACACCAGAAAAAACTGATGTAAAAATGTGACTCAGCAACTTTTGACAAGAAAGAGAAGTAAATCTCATCAAAATGTTGTATATATAAAATCCAAAAAGCGCAATAATATGTTCTAATCTTCTCACAGTATTTTTTTCTTCACATTATTTGACCCAATTTGATGATAATGGGTCATTTCCAAAGGTGCAAGTCTCAAGGCCACAGCAAACTGGTTGAAGACTTTAAAGAGTATAACCTTTTATCACACAACAGGCAAACACAGAGAGAGCAGGATCAGCAGTTTTCAGTATTTTACTCCAGTTAAAAAAACCTGCACATTCTTCACAATCCTTCTCCACAGGAATCCTCAGAGTCGCAGTGAAATCGTCACTTTCTGCCCCAAGAACCAGAGAACCAGATCTACCGAGGCCCAGGTGAGCCTCCCCTCTGCTCCGGCTGTCATCATGTCCTCATTCCCGTCGCTAATTCTTTCACAAGGACAAATTTCCACATACCTGGGTCTTATTGTGGTCTTCTCGGTCCAAAACCAGGTCTGGGGACTGGAGGGACCCTCACCCAATCCTCCCGCTCGCTGCCTCTCTCCTCCTCTTCAGCTAATTCTTTCCAGCCCACCGTTTACTTTGTGCACCCCGTTTTTTCCACGCACACACACACTTACATACACACACACGCACACACACACACACACACGCACACACACACACCCCCTCCCATCCTATAGACCCTCTGAAGCAAACCACAGGGATTGTTGCCATCTGTAAAATTGGAAAGTTGAAAAAATGCAGACTGTATGCACATGCACTGCAAAAAAAGATGAAAAATGAGATTATAATCTTAATCATCTTAATTTATCTTAATTTAATTTAAAATTTATTTGAGATTTAAGACTTATTTGACTGCTTTGTCCCATTGGTGAATCTTGTTTTAAGGCTCAGTCAGAATGTGCTCAAATGAAGATTAAATGTGTACCACTTATGTTTGTCATATACTTGTTTGTTTTGAATTTATATTGTATCTGTGTTGGAATAAATACAAACAAACAAAACAGTTTGCCAAATTTGAGCAATTTTTGACTTATTTTGTGTCACTTTTCTTACTCTTTGTCACTTTTTGCAGCGTATGTGCATCTGCTGCAAAAAATGATTAAAGGGCGACAGTAGCTCAGTTGGGAGAGCATTGGCCTTTGAGCCAGAGGGTTGTGGGTTCCAGCCCGACTTTCACCATTGACTCCCGCTGTCTGCTGTCGTTGTGTCCTTGGGCAAGACACTTCACCCACATTAGAATGAGTCTGGTGTGTGTGTGAATGGTTGGTGGTGGTCGGACGTGTTGATGGCACAGACCGGTTGCTTCGCTTCTGTCAGTGTGCCCCAGGGCAGCTGTGGCTACAGTAGTAGTTTATCACCACCGTGTTTGGAGGGAAAGAATAATGACATGTAAATTTGAGTGTCCAAAAAAGCACTATATAAAACATTTGCATTATTATTATAAAATATGAGGTAATAAATTGAGTGGTTTTTACCTCAATCTGACGGTGTTAAAACCAGATTCTCCAACAGAGCACAGCCATTCAGTCTCATTAAAGAGCTGCTGCTTTATGTTCTCATTCCAAGGCAGACATTTCTTGTATCAGTGTAGAACAAGATCATCTTACCGTGTCCCATTGATCTTCTTATGAGACTCTTTCAAAATGTGCTCAAATTAAAACACATTTTTCCAAATTTGAACCATTTTTAACTTATTTTGCATCACTTTTTGCAGTGTGGATGGAGCTGGACAGGAGCCAGCAGAGTCTGGGAGAAGGCATGGTGTGTGTCCAGTGTGTGTCCAGTGTGTGTTCAGTGTGTGTCCAGTGTGTGTCCAGTGTGTGTTCAGTGTGTGTCCAGTGTGTGTCCAGTGTGTGTTCAGTGTGTGTCCAGTTTGTGTTCAGTGTGTGTCCAGTGTGTGTTCAGTGTGTGTCCAGTGTGTGTCCAGTGTGTGTTCAGTGTGTGTCCAGTTTGTGTTCAGTGTGTGTCCAGTGTGTGTTCAGTGTGTGTCCAGTGTGTGTCCAGTGTGTGTCCCAGTGTGTTCAGTGTGTGTTCAGTGTGTGTTCAGTGTGTGTCCAGTGTGTGTCCAGTGTGTGTTCAGTGTGTGTTCAGTGTGTGTCCAGTGTGTGTTCAGTGTGTGTCCAGTGTGTGTTCAGTGTGTGTCCAGCGTGTCCAGTGTGTGTCCAGTGTGTGTTCAGTGTGTGTCCAGTGTGTGTCCAGTGTGTGTCCAGTGTGTGTCCAGTGTGTGTTCAGTGTGTGTCCAGTGTGTGTTCAGTGTGTGTCCAGTGTGTGTCCAGTGTGTGTTCAGTGTGTGTCCAGTGTGTGTTCAGTGTGTGTCCAGTGTGTGTCCAGTGTGTTCAGTGTGTGTCCAGTGTGTGTCCAGTGTGTTCAGTGTGTGTCCAGCGTGTCCAGTGTGTGTCCAGCGTGTCCAGTGTGTGTCCAGTGTGTCCAGTGTGTGTTCAGTGTGTGTCCAGTGTGTGTTCAGTGTGTGTCCAGTGTGTGTTCAGTGTGTGTTCAGTGTGTGTTCAGTGTGTGTCCAGTGTGTGT